GGGGGGAGGTGGGGACGGGACTGGGGCGGTAAGGGGCAGGGCTTGATGTGAGGAGCAGGGCTTGAGGAGACCAGGTGTTCTGGGGAGAAGGGCCAGGTGGGTGTGGAAGGGAGGGGAAGGATGTGAAAAGAAAGGGAAGGGTCTGGGGACTTGGGGTTTAGGATTGGGGGACTGGACGGGAAGTAACTCAGGGTGAGGGGCACAAGAGTGACGGAAGACCAGCCCCTCTTCCCTTTCTTCCCGCCCATCTTCCTCCTCCCCCTTTTTCCAAAACCCCCTAAGAGCCGGAAAGTTCCCCGCCTCCCGGGCGCGTGAAGCCAATACGGAGGCGGCTACCGTGTGACGTCGTCGGTTGCCAGGCAGACTGCCACGCGGCTCTGGCGAGCCCAGCGAAGTCCCGGCCGGTGTTAGGAGTGGTGGAGGTGTCACCTGGAGCCCTGCGCTCCCCCCTTGCCAGCCTGAGGGCTCAATTCAGAGAGAGGAGGACAGAGACCCAGAGAAAGAAGAGGCCATAGACTCTTAGGGAGATAGAGACCTAGAGAGAGTGCAGAGAACCAGAGAGAGGGGAACAAGAGACCCAGAGAGGGAGATAGAGACCCAGAGAGAGAGGGAGATAGAGACCAAGAGAGAGGGGGGAACAGAGACCCGGGGGGGGGAGGGGGACAGAAACCCGGGGTGGGGACAGAGACCCAGAGAGAGGGGGACAGAGACCCAGAGAGGAAAGGAGACATGGAGGGGATGGGGAAGCACAGATTGGCAGGAAGAGAGGACGACACAAACATTAAACCAAACGCCTCGCGCCCGCATCTCAAGCGCTTTGCCACAGCTTTGGAGGCGCAGCCTCCCTGGCTCTCTTGCCTCTCTGATCTGTCTCATCTTCCCCTTGCTGTCTAGTGTCTCTGACAGCCAATGTTCCCGGTGGCGGAGGGGGGCAGGATTGTAGCTCCAGGCCCTGACAAAAGGTCCCCGGAGGTCTGTCTAACCTTGGTTTGTACATTTTTAAAAATTTTATTTCACATTTGGGTGATGGTGATATTTTTTTGCAAAATGTACATCGTTGTAGGAGGAAGCTGGGCCCCAAATGCCCCTCCCAGCTGCCCCCTGCCCCCAAGGGCTGTTCCTCTCTTGAGGGCAAGTCCCAGGCTGGACTCTGCCACCAGCAGCTGTGTGCCCTCCGGTGGACCCCTCCTCGCCTCTCTGCGTCCTTGATGCTTTCTCCTCATCCTCTTCCTGATCACCAGTGGGTGGTGGGGTGCATTTCGGGAGACATACCAAAGGCTTAACCGGGCTGCAAGAGATCTTGCTCCTCTTCTCCCACTTTTACAGAAGGGGCAAACTGAGGCCCGGAAGCAGCAAATCATGTGCCTTCGGTCTCTCAGCCACCCAGGCTCAAGGACGTCTTCCCCACAGCCTCTGATCCCCCCCCCCCGTGGTTCCAATCAGAGCTCCCACGGTTCATCTGGGCTTCATTTCCAGCGGGGTGTGCGCCCAGGGTCGAAATGCAAATGCTGTGGGCCAAACAGGAAACTGAGTGAAGTAGCTGGTATAAGACAGCCAGGACTGGTGGGGACTGGGGCAAATTGCAGAGCAAATGCCCCATCAGGAGGGCGCCACTGGCTGGCTCCATATAGCAGAGCTGGCTCACCACCATGACTGGATCACCTGGAGTTTTAAGTGAAGCCAGAAATCAGGACTTTGTAAACTCTCCCAATTTTTGGAATGTTGGATAATTTGGATTTTTTTCCCCCAAAACACTGCAGTGAACTAAAGAAAACACCACCAGGGGCCTGGTTTGCCCCGGGGGTCTGCCAGCTTGACACATCTGGTTAGAAATGAAGTAGGCAGAGGGGTGTCAAGATCACCCAAAAATCAGGCAAGCAGCTAAAACGATCCCCAGTGTGGCCATAAGGAGGGCACCCAAGAAGGGCAGAGTCCCCACAAGAACTCAAGAATTGCTGGTGAGATCCCCAAACAGGCATATCTGATAGGGATCTAACGGGAGGGCCTCAGATGTTGACTGAAGGATCCCAGATACAACAAAGTTCACTGAGGTCTCCCTCCAGACCTGACAAGGGTGATTTCAGACATAACAAGATGATCCCAGAGGGATCCTAGATGTGATTGGAGAGTTCCAGACACGAAAAAATGATCGCAGGGTGGTTCCAGGATATCTCAAAGATGGCAGGGGCATTTGGGGACGCACATATGACAAGGGGGTCCCAGATGGGCTCCAAATGTGACACAGAGATCTGAGACATAACGGGTTTCCAGACATAACTGAAAGATCTCAGACTTGACAAGAGGGACCCAAACATGACAAGGCGATCCCGGAGGGGCCCTGTACAGGACTTAGGGTTGCTGGAATGGCCCCGTCCAGATGTAGGAGTCTGTGGGTTCCTCCTCAGGTGTAATTGAGGGGCTGCAGACACACACGAGATCTCGGAGAGGTCCCAGGTCTGTTTGGGGGATCTCAGACATCACAAGGGGATCCCAGAGAAGCTCTAGAGGCCCAGGGATTCTGGAAGCACTGCCCCCCAGCGCCCTCTCAACAGTCGTCTATGGGTCCCGTGACCCAAGACATGGACCCTGGACATGAAAAAGGATTCCCAAAGGGGCCCCAGACACGAGTAGGGGATCCCAGGAGCGCCCTGGGCAAGGTTTAGGGATTACAGGAACCCCCCTCCCCCCCAGTGTGGGGTCCATGGCCCCAGGACCCAGGGTGTGGGGACGCCAACGTGACACAGGAACCGGACCCAGGGTGTGGGGATGCCAATGTCACACAGGAACCCCAGAGGGGCCTTGGCTGGGGCGTAAGGTCCCCAGGTAGTTCCACAAGCGGCGCGGGGCTCCCGGTGCTCCCCAAGCAGGGCGCGGAGGCCCCGAGAGGCCCCAAGTGGGGGCTCAGGCCCGGCGGGCGGCTGGCAGCAACGCACTGTCGAACTGGTAGGTGAGCTTGCGCTTGACCTTGCGGATCTCGCCCGTCTTGGCGTAGTTGCGCAGGGCGCGCGCCAGCTTCTGGTAGGTCATGCGCTTGCGGTTGCCCTTCTGCTGGCCCCAGCGGCGCGCCAGCAGCTCCTTGTGCTTGGAGGAGAACTGGAAGACTCCGGCGCCCGGCTCCACCCACCACACGCACTCGCGCATGTCGCCGCGGGTCAGCAGCCCCAGCAGGAACTGGTACAAGCGCAGCTTCTTGCGGGCTCCTGGGGCGGGATGTGGGGCGGGGGGGAGCATGTCAGGCTGAGTGTTCCTCAGATCCCGCCCCCAACGCCCAACCCTCTTCCACCCAAGCTGGGCCCTTGCAAAGCCTCAGCCTCCAAATCTAGAGAATGCGGTGAGGCAGGTGGCTGTTAGGGGGTCTGTGCCCCCGCCGCCAGCAAGTGGCTCCCCTATCTGAGCCTGATGCCCCCAGAACCCCATTCCCTGCTTCCCATTCCCAGTGGGATCCTGGGAGAGACCAGGGGATCTGATTATTGCACTCCTAGGAGCAGCAAGGGCCCCACAGAGCTGGGCAGCTCATTGAATGCAAGAACCTCACCTCTGTCATTTCCTAGCTGTGTGGTCTTGGGGTGGTGACTTAACCTGTCTAAGTTTTTCATCTCCTCAGCTATAAAACGAGGCTAATGTGTGTGTGGAGTCCCTGGGTGGTGCAAACGGTTAATGAGCTCGGCAACTAACAGAAAGGTTGGTAGTTCAAGTCCACACAGAAATGCCTTGGAAGAAAGACCTGGCGATCTGCTTCTGAAAAATCAGCAAATGAAAATCCTGTGGAGCACAGTTTACTCTGACACACATGGGGTCGCCATGAGTCAGAGTTGACTCAATGGCAACTGGCTTAATGTGTGTGTGTGGAGTTTTAATTTTACAAACATTTTACATTTTGCAAAGTTGTTGAGAATTTAGTGCCAGGCAGAGTGCTAAACACTTTACTGTTATTTAGCTCATTTAAGCTTCATCATGGGTCGCACAAACAGTTAAGCACTCAACAACTAGAAGAAAGGTTGGCAGTTTAAACCCACCCAGAGGTGCCTCAGAAGAAAGGCCTGGCGATCTGCTTCTGAAAGGTGACAGTCACTGAAAACCCTATGGAGCACAGTTCTACTCTGCACACATGGGGCCGCCATAAGTCAGAACTGACTCCATGGCAACTAGCAAGAATCTTCATCATAACCCTGAAAGGTAGAGCTGATGATGACATCCATTTTACAGATGGGAAACTGAGGCCCAGAGAGGTAAAATAACTAATAACCCCAACTCCCCGAGGGTTCAGCCTAATGAATGCCGGGCACACGGCTGGAAGCAGGGGTTGAATAGATGTAGATGGACATTGCTATTATATTTGTTGCTATTGTGTTGCAGTGCTGGTGAAGATGGCTGATTTATTGTATGCTCACTCTATCCCATTTCCCTGGGTCCCTGGGTGGTACAAATAGTTAATTTGCTGCTAACCCAAAGGCTGGTGGTTCATACCCACCCAGCAGCTCCACAGGAGAAAGACCTGGCAGTCTGCTCTTGTGAAAATTATAGCCAAGAAAACTCTGTGGGGCGGTTCTGTTCTGTCACATAGGGTCACCACGGGTCAGAATCAACTCGCCAGCACCTAACAACAGCAACATCCCATGTAATCCTCCCACTGACCTTATGAGCCTAGACACTGTGACTGTCATCTCTATCATACAGATAAGAAACTGAGGCACAGAGAGGTAGAGGAACTTGCCCAAGGTCACACAGCCAGCAAGTGGCAGATCCAGGAACTGCTCTCACGGCTGACGTATATAGTAGGTGTCTTTTGAGAAGCCATGGTTCCTTCCATTCCCTCCCCCAATCCCTGGCTGGAGCCTCACCCCCACCACACCACACCGGCTCCCACATACCTGCATCAGATCCCCTCCCCTCGGCGGTGCCAGTCAGGAGGGCCTCATCTGACTCGCTGTCTGACACTTCCAGGGCAGGACTGTTTAGCACAAAGTCCTCCTCCTCAGATAACACAGGGCTGGGGTATGGGGCGTATGCCGCTGGTGGGCTCAGGGTCTGCAGAAGGTCAGGGTCACCCACACATCCAGGGGGGCCCATCTCTCCCTCCCTCCCTCATCCCCCACGTGACCCTCCCTCTCCATCTTGGTTATGAGCATGGACTCTGGCCTTGGTTCCCATCCCCATGCTGTGGCCAGGGGACGCCCAAGCTACGTCCAGGAACACAGGTCTACAGGTAATGCCATTCCATGTTCTTGTCTGTGCCTCAGTGGGCTCATTTGTGCAATGGGGTAATGTTGCTGTTGTTGGTTGCCTTTGAGTCAATTCTGACTCATGGTGACCCCATGTGTGCAGAGTAGAACTGTGCTCCATAGGGTTTTCTTGGCTGTGACCATTCAGAAGCAGATCGCCAAGCCTTTCTTCTGAGGCACCTCTGAGTGGGTTTGAACTGCCAGCCTTTTGGCTAGTAGTCAAGTGCTTAACCGTTTGTGCCACCCAGGGACTCCAAAGGGGTAATAGTGATACTGAATCTCAGAGGGTTGTTAAAAGGATATCAGTCAAAAAAAAAAAACAAACCCATTGCCATCAAGTCGATTCCAACTCATAGAGACCCTATAGGACAGAATAGACCTGCCCCATAGGGTTTCCAAGGCTGTAAATCTTTACGGAAGCAGACTGCCACAACTTTCTCCCACAGAGTGGCAGATGGGTTTGAACTGCCGGCCTATTGGTTAACAGCCAAGCGGTTAACAGCCAAGCACTTAACCACTGCGCCACCAGGACTTCTGACCAGTTAATAGTTTAGCTTAACTAGCAAAAAATGTCAGCCTTAAGCATTATGCTCTTTTAAGAACTATCTATATGGGATCAAACTGATAACAGCAAATTGGAAGATTAGATAGGAACCTTAGAGGGCGGTGAGTTCATGTTAATGGTGGAAGAACAACTCAGAAAAGGGGAGTGAGAATGGTTGCACAACTCAAAGAATGTAATCAGTGTCACTGAATTGTACATGTAGAAACTGTTAAATTGGTGTATGTTCTGCTGCGCACATTCTCAGCAACAACAAAATAAATTATAAGGAAAAAAAAAGGATACCAGTTGCCGTTGAGCCAATTCTGACTCATGGTAACCCTGTGTGTGTCAGAGTAGAACTGCTCCATAGGGTTTTCAATGGCTGTAAACTTGTTCACAAGTAGATCGCCAGGACTTTCTTCCAAGACGTCTCTGGTTGAGTTCAAACCGCCAACCTTTCGGTTACTAGCTAAGCACTTAACACTTTGAGCCACCCCGGGTTAAAAGGGTGGAAGGGGTTCAATGTGGACGGGTTTTAAACAGTGCCTGGCACCTAGTGACCACACTCATTCAAATGATGGGGATTGTCAGGTTCTCCAAGGCCCTCACCTGGCTGGTAAATTCGTCCGTGGGGTACGCTGGGAGGCCGGGCCCCAGGGCCTCCAGGCTGGGCACTGGGTCAAGGCCCCCTGCAGGGCTGTAGGTCGAGGGTCCATAGCAGAGAGGGACACCCTGGGGGTGGCCGAAAGTGGCCGATGTGGGGTCGAAGGCCTCGTAGAGGGCAGCTGGGGCAGGCGGGGCCTCGGTCCAGCCCCACAAGGAGTCTGGGTGGGAGGACGCTGAGTCAGATGCCAGGAGGCCTGACCACCACCCCCCTACACCCGCAATCCCCAGTACAGAGGGGCCATTGTGGGCTGTGCAAATCTCTGACCCCAGGATTTGCATGGAGGGAGGGGGACCCAGGAGGACCAAAGAAGGGAGGGGAGGAAGCTGGGAGGCATAGGCCACCTTTATCTTGCTGAGCCAGGTGACAGCTTCCCCTGGGCCTCAGCTTCCTTGTCTGTGAAATGGGCCCAGGCAGGGAGTGGGTTGGCTGTGGTCACTCACCAGGAGCCCCCTCTGCATCGGGGTAGCCAGGATGTCTGCAGCTGTCCAGGTCATAGAAGACGCCATCTGAGTACTGAGGAGGGTGTGGGTGGGAGAGGGGTCATCCCAGGCTGCAGGGAGCCCCCACCCCCACCCTGGGCCAGCGAGGAGACTCCAACACAGACAGGGGAGCAAAGAGGAGAGGCTGGGAGAGGGAGAGAGACATAAACTAACAGAGATAGAAGTGCAGAGACAGAGACTGAGAGAGAGAAACAGAGACGCCCTGTGAGAGAGGTATGGAGAGCCACACGGACAGAGACAGTGACATCCACAGATACGAGGAGAGGGGGCAGGGACAATGCAGGAGAAACACACAGAATGGAAAAGAGACAGAGACACAGGGAGAGACATACAGATACACAGAGACTCAAAGACTCCCAAAGAGACACAGAGCAAGCCAACTCCTGCTAAGACATGGGCTCCTGAGGACCTTGGCTGGGCAGTCCTATTACCACTGGGTCCCCAGTACCACAATGGTACACAGCTGGCACCCTGTAGAGCCCGGGGAAGGTGTGGAAGAATTCACCCTGGTCTTGCCTGCCACGGTGGTGGGGTGGATTGGGGGGGTGGGAGGTTGAAGGGGAGGGGATATTTTTGCAAAGCAGGTCTCAACATTTCTTTCATGCCCCTACACAGTCCTTTGATTCATCCCAGGAATCACGAGTGACTTTAGCAATTAACATCTAGTAAAGATGAAAGCAAGGAGCCCTTGGTGGCGTGGTGGTTAAATGCTCGGCTACTAACTGAAAACTTGGCAGTTCGAACTCACCAGCTGCTCAGCAGGAGAAAGACCTGGCAAGCTGCAGTCTAGAAAGATTACAGCCTAGAAAACTCCATGGGGCAGTTCTGCCGTGCCGTCGGGTTGCTGTGAGTCAGAATCAAACCAGTGGCACACAGCAACAACATGCTCACGATGGAGACGAACCAACTGCTGGCACACACTCAATGTTGTGTGAAAGAAGCCAGATACAAAAGGGGACACGCTGTGAGATTTGCTTTATGGAAAGTTCAGAAACAGGCAGAACGAACCCCGTGGAGGGAAATGGGAGAGGGGGCGGGTATTAGTGGGGAAGGAACACAAGGGAATCTTCTGGAGGGATGGAGATGAGATGTTCTATCTATTGATCTGGTGAGTGGTTACACAGGGGCATTCATATGTAAAAACTCACTGAGGTGTGCACGGGGGATTTGTCACTTTGCTGACTGTAAAGTACACATTAAAAAAAAGGAAAACCTTGTAAAGTTGGAGGGGGGCAGGATGTGATGGAGAGGGGCACACATACATCCTAAACCCACTGCTGTTGAGTCAATTCCAACTCATAGCGACCTTGTAGGACAGAGTAGAACTGCCCCATAGGGTTTCCAAGGCTGTAATCTTTACGTAAGCAGACTGCCACATCTTTCTCCCCCAGAGCGGCTGGTGGGTTTGAACCACCGACTTTTGGTTAGCAGCCGAATGCTTAACCACTGCACTACCAAGACTACTACACATACATCAGTAAGGTTTTATTTCTCAGACTGGGTGGTGGCTTCCTGGGGGTTAGGTATGTATGTCTGAAATATTACAGAATCAATTTTTTAAAAATACAAAAAAAAAGAAGGAATAAATAAATCTCTTGAATGTGGGATGAATGGAGACACAAAAGCCAGAGAAACAAAGACAAACACACACAACACGTATACACAGCACACAATGCATACACACATAACACATTACAGCATACACACATCGCACACCCAAAACACACACACACCGCACACACACAACACATATACAGCACACACAAAACGCACTCCCCGCCCCCCCCAAAACAAGGAAGCGGACCCAGCTCTGGGGAGAGGGAAACAGAGAGAGACATCAGAAACACGTTAATGATGCAGACACAGAAGGGGGACATCCCTGAGGGAGAGACTCAGACAGACAAAGTGACGGGAAGGGGAAGAAGGAGCAACTGAGGCAGGGAGCCAGTGACCCCTCTGAGGGAGGTTTTGGTGGGCCACATGGGTCCCCCCCAGCCCTCCCTGGCCCCCAAGGGTCCCGACTCACCAGACAACTGAAGTGTGCCCCATCAAGCCTAGCGAGGGAGAGACACAAGGGCATGTCAGGGCACCTCCGGCCACCTGAGCCTCCAAGTGATGGGGGAAGCTGGTGGGGGGCAGAGGTGGCAGCAGCTGTGGCCACAGCTCATCTGCTGTGTGGGACCAGCCCCACCACTTTCCCCCCATTCTGCATCGGGACAGGAAGTGGAAGGTGGGGGCTAGGCAAATGTCCCCCCCCCCGCCCCGGGATTTGCATAGACACAGGCTGGCGGGGGGAGCAGGAAAAGTGAGGGAGAGAAAGTCCCCAGAGAGGAGGTGTAGGCACCAACGGCAGGTGGGGGTGGAAAGCGACCCTCTGGGCCTCAGCTATCCAGTCTGTTAAATGGGGATAGCGGAGTCCTTGGGACAGGAGAAAGATGTAGGAGAGACACCTAGACAGAGAAGGGAAGACACAGAGCAGACCAGACAAGAGCAGAGGGGGAGAGGTGGATAGAGGAGAAAGGCGTGGGGAGAGTCAGATATGAGTACAGGAGATATTGAGCCCCAGAGGAAGAAAGATGAAGTGAGGGAGAGAGAGGGAGGCAGGAGAGACCAGCAGACGGACAGAGAGACCTAGAGAATTGGAAAGAGAAAGACAGAGAGGGACAGAGACGAAGAAAGAGACAGAGAGAGCAACAGGCAGAGTCAGAGAAACAAGGAAAGAAATGGCCAGATAGGGAGTAAGAGACAGACCCAGTGAAAGAGAGAGCAGGACCCAGTGGAAGACTGGGAGGGAGAGAGACAGAGATGGAGAGACCACCAGAGGTGGAGACCCACCTGGGAGAAAAGCAAGTGTCCCAGGGCAGTGAGATCTTTGAGGACTAAGAAAGACAAGGATGGAGCAGGATGGAGGAGAGTCAGGGGTGGGGGAAGAAAGATCTAGAAGGGGCAAGACACAGTGTAGCCCCTCTTCCTGCCCACCTCCCCCTCTGTGGGGGTCCCAACTGCAGGTTCAGGGTCCCCCACTTACTGTGCAGCCTCCAGGGCGAGCATGGTGGCACTAGGCTAGGCTGGTCGCCGGCTGCAGCCACCACCCCTATTTATACCGTGGCCCAGCCCCTGAGGAAGGGGAGGGGTGCTGGGCTGTGAGCTCAGCCGTCCTCGAAAATCCCCTCAGGGAAGGAGTCAGGGGAGGGGGCCTGGTTGGTTGCGCAACCCCTTGGTCACGTGGTAGGGAGAACAGGTCTAGATTTGGGGATCCCCAAGGTTGGGGGTGGGGATGGAGAACTGACCCTGACGGGTGGAGACAGGAGAGGAGCTGGGTTTGGGGGGACCCTGGAAAAGTAAACGCTGGAGAAGAGGGGGGTCTCTGGGACCAGTGAGGGGTGGAAATAGGGGTGGGGAGCGCTGGACCGAGGAGCCAAACTTCAACCCCAAGAGGGGAGTAGTGGGGCCTGGGGGGTGACAGAAGGACCTGTGTCCCTGGGGATGTATAAGTTCAAAGGTGACCAGCCATGGGAGACAGATAAGGGGACCGCCAGAAAGTCTCAGAAGGGGACATGAGGAAGACCCAAGCCCAAGGGTGATCACCGGGACCCTGAAATGGAAACATTTGTGGGTGTGTGATATGGGGGGGGTCCCCTAGGTCAGGCCAGGGAGCGGAAATCCGCTGTCCTTGGGGCTGCCCCAGGGCCTGGTGGAAACAGGCCAGCACCTGGTGGGCGGGGCAACTATGGGGCACCCCAGGGGCCATGTGGGGGGGATAGATGGCCCCCAGAGGGCAGGCATTGGCGCTGGACACGAGGGTGCCCTGAGCAGAGCAGAGAGGAGCTGGCATAGATGTTCACTCAGGTGCAAGGGGAGAGAAACCGAGGCAGCCTTGGCAGCAGAGGCCAGAGCCCCAGAGTTTGCACTGAGATCCACGGAGCCCCTATGGGAGTCAAGACATCCCACTGAGCAGACATGGCCCAGCGCTGCCGGGCCGGGTAAGGGCTTAGGAGATTGGACTCGCCCCCCAGAGACCACAAAGACGTAACAAAAGGACAAACTTTATTAATCCCCCTGTCCTGCTGGGAGGCCCGTGAGGTCACCAGACCTCGGGGCCCGGGGGCCCGAAGCGCCGCAGTAGCTGCTCCTGGTCCTCCAGGTCCTTCCGCACCTTTTTGCGCATGTAGAAGATGGGGCAGTCCCGGCTGTGGGCGGGGGTAGGTCGGGGTCAGGGCCGCTGGGCACAGGTGGCCCTGGGAGTCCTGATGCAGCCCAGCAATGGGGCAGGGGCCTCGAGCACTGGTCCCCAGGGGCGGGAGCTGCTCCCAGGACTTTGGCCCCGCCTGCTGTCCCCCCACCCACCTCCTCCCGCCACCAGGCTGTTTGCTCAGCGGGCACAGGGAGCCGATAACAGTGGGTGCCTGCTGAGGCGCCGGCCACCAGCCGTATATCACCTGTCACCTGGCGTGGGAACCTGCCCCGCCCACGTGTTCCCTGGGGAAAGCGGCCCGCCCCAAGGGGTGGGGGACTTCGGGGTGGGGGGGTGTGCCCAGGGGGGCCACCAGCCCCCGAGCAGATCCTGGGGGCCTGGTCCTGCCCCCTCCGGGCACCTACACCCTCCTGGAAGGCTGGACATGGGCCCACCCAGCAGGCAAGAACACTGAGGCCCCACTGCGAGGGATGTAGGAGACCCTGGTGTCTGGGCCGGGACCACCAGCCACAGGCCTAAGACCTGTGTGGGGAGGGCACCTGGTGCAGATGACATCCTCATGCAGGCTGCCCTGGCAACGCTGGCACTGGGTCCAGAGGCGCGAGAAGCGCTCTTCCAGGGCGTTCAGGTGGGACACCTGGGTGGGCAGCCGGGGTGCTGAGCAGGGTGGACCCCCCTCCCCTTCCCAGCCTCCCTGGCACCTCAGCCCGGCCTCCTCAGCCCTCACCTCCTTCTGATACAGCTCCGACTCCCGCGGCCGGCAGAACTTGCACACGGCTCCTGGGGGCAGGGGGGGTCAGTGCAGGGCCCGGCTGCCCATCCCTGCCCTTTCCCCACCCGCCGCCCATCCGGCTCCTGAAAGTCCCCAGAGCCTCAAGAACAAGGGAGCGAGTGTGTGTGGGGAAAACTCCCCTGGGGAAGTCCCAGGGTGGGGAGTGTGGACCCTCCCGGGTGGGTGCAGGCCAAGGGGAGCCCCCCACCCGCAATGCGGGAGGCAGTGCTGGCTGGCGGGGTGGGGGCTCACCCTGGTGGCTGAGCACGGTGCGGCAGCCGATGCAGCAGGTGTGGCGCTTGGCGAAGGCCAGCAGGCCGCCCACCTTGCCCGTGAGCACCGTCTTGCAGCGGGTGTGCTCCCCGCCTGCAGGGCAAGGGCGGGCGGTGGGCTGGGGTCCCTGACTCTTGGCGTTTCCCCACTCTCACGTCCCCCGCCCACCCGCCTGCCCCTTACGCAGCAGCATGGCCTCGGCGCGGCCCTCGCCCAGGATTGGCTCGAAGATGCGCAGGAGTGGCTTGGCCAGCTGTTGCTCCAGGTAGTACTGTGTGTCGATGGGCAGGCTGTGCTCCAGTACGAAGAGAGGGTCCTGCGGGCCGGGCCAGGGTCACCACGGGTGGCGGGGGGCGAGCAGTGGTCACCCATGGGGGGAACAGAAGGGCGGTGGTCTCCCATGGGGGGACAGAGGGCGGTGGTCACCCACGGGGGGACGTAGGTGTGGTGGTCTCCCACGGGGGGGGGGACGTAGGTGTGGTGGTCTCCCACGGGGGGATGGAGGGGCCACAGTCATCCATGGGTGGTATCAGAGGGGCCACGGTCACATACTGGGTGGCTAGGGGAATTGGGGCGGGGGGACTCAGTCATACAAAGTGTGGATGAGGGAATTGGGGACACCATCACACACGGGTGGGCAAGACACTGTGGGGTACAGCCACACCCCAGGAGAAGGGAAGGGGGAGCTGCAATCACCCATCAGGCAGCTGGGTGAAGGGTCCAGAGCCCAAGGGTCTTCCATTCACACACTGGTGGGGTGGGTGTTGCCCTTGGGTCTGCAGTGGGTCAGAGGTCATGGGGGAGTCTGTGGCTCAGAGACTCATCTCCAAGTAAGGGTCAGAGTTCAAGGCGGGGAGGGGTGATGGTGGACGGGAGCTGGAAGCCATGAGGTGAGGAAGTGGCACAAGAAAGGCGGGGGTGGCTGAGGGAGGGTCATGAAGGTCAGAGGTCACGGGAGCTGAGACGGTCACTGCTTGGATGTCTGGGTAGGAGGGGATGGACTGTGAATCTAAGGGAATTAGGGGTTGGAGCGCAGGAACCAGGGAGAGACAGACACAGACAGAGATGGAGAGAGACAGACAGGGCAGGGTGTGCAAGGTGAGGACCTGGGGGCCCCTTTCTGTGGGGGGAATCAGAGGGGGCCACTGGAGAGGATACAGGAAGCCTGGGAGCACAGTGTCATGGAGCATCCCCAGGCTGCTGGGGACCCCGGGTGTGTCTTGGGGGGCGGTTCCCAGGGTCCCGTGGGGCCGTGGAAGGAGCCACCCTGCCCTCGCCCTGCCCCTGCAGGAAAGCAGAAGTGAGAGTGGGGGGGCGCTGGGGAGGGGCCCGGCCAGGTGGGGCCAACCTCAGACTTCATGTAGGCAGCCACGCCTTTGGCGGCCCCGATGATCACGTAGGGGACACGGTCACCCAGGCTGGGCGCGCTCCCGGGGTCCCGCTTCCTCATCCTGTGGGGGACAGGGTGGCAGGCGGGTGAGGGCAGGTGGGGTGGCTGGGCTCACAGGAAGTGGTGGCCCAGCTGGCATAGGGGAGGCTATTTCTGTCCTGCCTCCCCATGTCTCCTGGCCCGTGTCCCTCAGGCAGACCTCTCGGCTAGCTCCACGTGGGCCTGCTTGCCGGCGTAGTCAGCGGCCGCGCGGGTCAGCTCCTTGGTGATGACCAGCTGTGAGATGTCAATACGGTTGCACAGCAGGTCTGAGATGACGTCCTGTGCGTGGGCCACTGCGCCATCCGGGTCTCTGTGGAAGGTGGGGCCAGGGGCGTCACTGATGCCACCAAGGGCCAGGCTGGACCCTCGCCACCTGCATAAACCACCCCAAGGCCAAGGGGTCGGGCGGGTGCTGAGCAGAGGCTCAGAACAGGGAAGGGTCATAGGCCCCAGGGCTGCAGAGTGGTGGAGGCGGGGCTGAGCCCACAGCTGCCCACCCAGACTCTTTCCACTGCTCCACCGCAGGGTAAGAGTGGGCCTGACACCTGTGTCCCTGGGGAAGGGCCGAACCCCAGGTCTGAGGGAGGAGGGGGCCGGGAGCGTGGACTCGGACTTCTGGGTCTGAGGGAGGAGGGGCTGGGGGCCTGGACTCCTGGGTCTGAGGGAGGAGAGGCCGGGAGCTTGAACTCCTGGGTCTGAGGGAGGAGGGGGCTGGGGGCCTGGACTCCTGGGTCTGAGGGAGGACGGGACTGGGGGCCTGGACTCCTGGGTCTGAGGGAGGAGGGCCCAGGTGCAGGGCCCCTCACCGGTCGATGAGCAGGCGACGCAGTGAGGCGGTGACGAGGTTGGCCACGAGGGGGCAGTTGTCCCTCCGCACGGCCTCTAGGCCCTTGCAGTCCATGCGGTCGTGGACATCAGGGCAAGAGGAGAAAAGCAGGCCAGCGTAGCGCTTCTTGCTGATGAGCAGGTAGGGGAAGTAGACCTGGGGGAACCCGTTCCCAAACCCAGGATTCAGACACTTGGGGAGACAGGCCTAAACCTGAGATAAGCGTACCCTGTGAGTGAGATGGTTCTAAGACCCTGGTATGTTGTCTGAATATAGCTCCCGAGCCCAGGAGCATGGTCACAAATCTGAAACAGAGCCCGGGATGAACCAGAGACAGCACCAAATCTGCATGTGGGACAGACCTCCAAGGCAGACGGGGACACAGTGAGGGCCCCTCAAAGAAAGAAGAGACTGAAATTAGGGTGGGCCCTGAGACAGAGACTCCTCCACACCGAGGGGCCCCAAGCCCACGTGTGGCTGTGCCCTGAGGCCTCACCCCACATTTGAATCTTGGGGGAAAGAATGTCGGTCTGAGATTGCCCAGGACCCAGGACTGACACCAGCTGGGGTCTGGGGGCCCTGGATGATGGTGCCCAGGCCCAAGATACGCCCATATCACAGACCCACTGCCCAGGGCAGCTGCCAAACTTGAAGCAGGAATTGGTAAACCCCAAACGCAGGAGAGACTCTGAGCCCGTGACATGGCTTCACAAGACAGACATCATCCTGTCACGTACAGACCAAGATTCTAGACGTTTCCGAAACCAAGGCCCCTGTTATGGACTGAATCAGGTCCCCTAAAAAGAAATGTTGTTTACCAATGTTCCCCGCAGCACTTTTCATAATAGCAGAAGAGTGGAAATAAATGAAGTGCCCATCAACAGATGAATGGATAAACAAAATGTGGTCTATATGCACAATGGAATATTATTCAGCCATCAAGAGGAATGAAGTCTCAATGCACGCAACAACACGGATCAACTTAGGAAACTATGCTGAGAGAAGTAAGTCAGACACAAAAGGACAAATACTGCATAATATCACTTACAGGAGATAAGCAATTATATAGAAACCATAAGCAGTTAATGGTTACCAGAGGCAGGAGGGAGGGGCAAAGTAGGGGTTTTTGCTTCAAATGCATTGAATGTGCGTTAGTGGTAGTGGGATAATTTGGAAAGAGATACCAAGAATGGTTGTACAACTTGAAGAATGTAATCAATGTCATTGAAGGGTATATGTAGAAACTGAAAAAATATTGGACGCTTTGTTGTATGCATATTGCTATAATAAAAAGTTCATACACACACACACACACACACACACACACACACACATACACATAAAGCTATGTGGAAGTCCTAATCCCTGTTTCTGTGAACGTAACGTTGTTTGGAAACACGAGTTTTCTTCTGTTATATTAATGAGGACATATGGAGTAGGGTGGGTCCTATACCCAATCCCTTCTGAATGGTACAGAATAGATATAGAGCAGAACAGATACGGAGACAGACAGACGGGAGGAAGACAGACGTCACGTGAAGAAGGAGACAGATGCATCTACAAGCAGTAAAGGAATGTCAAGGATTACCAGCAGTCACCAGAAACTAGGAGAGAGGCCCCCAGAAGGAATCAACACACCTGAGACCCTGATTTGGAATTTTAGCTTCCAGAACCGTGAGAAAATAAATCTCTGTTCTTTGAAGCCACCTCCTGTGGTGTTTTTTGTGATGGCAGCACTAGGTAATAAGACAGCCCCAAATTCAGGAGATCTAAGTAGCAAAACACCTTGTAACTGAGGCTTATAAACCCGAAGAATCAGTTAAAGTTCCTGAAAGTGAAGAGACCCTGAGCAACGTCAAGGTGCCCCCAGATCCTGACAAATAAGAGGATCCCCAAACTAATATATACTTAAGCTTTGAAGATGCCTTGAAAATCAGAGATCCTCAAAACTGGCAAGACCCACACACAGCCCACTCCAAGCCCTGAGTGGGGAGGTCCCCGCTTACCTTCTCAAACTCAAGCCGAATGGGTGGGGGGAAGTGGCCTGACACCCAGTCAGCGGCCTCCCGCCCTAGGGCCATGGCCTCGGCCACTGAGGAGACACCAAATCGGCACATGACGGAGTCAGTGTCACCGTACACCACCTGGAAGATGGGGCACAAGGGAGGGTAAGTATCCCAGAGATGCATACCTTTCTGCCACCCCCAAGTGCTCAAGGGACCCCAAGGGCACAGTGGGAGAGCAGGCAGGTATGACTGGGAGGCCCGGGCCCCAGTGGTCACCCTCACCAGCCCAGGGGCATCTCCAGACCCATCTCAGGGGGGCGGAGCGGGCGGGGCAGCCCCTAACCTTGGCAGTGGCACTGTAGCCATTCTCCACAGTGTACTTGGACTCCACCAGTTGCTTTGTTTTCTCAATCATCTGGCGCCCGAACCCGGTGACACTCTGCGGGGTGGGAAATCACATTGAGGGAAATGCCACTGCCTTCTGCAGTAGGCGTGAGCTTGGGGCCTCACCTCAGTTTCCAAATGTGCAAAATGGGGCTCTAGGCTCAGTGGCTGCAATAATGGGCTCAAGCATAACAAGGATTATGAGGATGGTGCAGGACTGGGCAGTACTTTGTTCTGTTGTACATAGGGTCGTTATGAGTCAGAACCAACTCGATGGCACCTAACAACAACAACAAGGCTGCTCTTCAAAGGTCTGTTGGGTTCTCTGGCCTAGAGCTCTGGGAACAGAGAAGGTGGCTGGGGCAAGGATGAGGAACTGGCTGCATCAAAGTGTTGGAAAGGTCTGAGTTAGAAAAGGCCATCAGCTCAGTGTTTCTCTCCAAAGAGGCACTGTGACATCATAGGACGGGCAGCTCTCCTTAGTGTAGGACACCTGACATTCTTGCCCCCTCCCTGAATGCCAGCAGCACCACACATCCCCATGCCTGGGCAACCAGAAATGACCCCATGCACTGTCAAATGCCCCCTCAGGGCCATAATATAATGTCCTCTGAAACACAATAATTTCTTTTGAACTGAGGAAACTGAGGCTGGTGAGGGGGTGGGGACACCAAGCAGAGACAAATATAATTCTTTTACTGTCTTTTTTTGGTTTGGATCTAGTCAGAAAATCTTTGTCTTTTAACTAGAACACTTAGTCCATTTACATTTAGTGGAATAACAAATATATGTAGGCTTAAATCTATCATCTTATTATTTACCCTGTGTTTGTCTCACCTGTTCTATGTTGGTTTTTTTCTGAATTCTTTCTGATCTTCTTCTGGAATAATCCATTATTTTTAAAAAATTATTCTATCCCCATAAGCTTGAGACAGATATAAGGAAAGAGGCCAAGAGAAACAGACAGAACAGAGAGACAGAAGGAAGGGACCAAGAGAGAAAAGACAAAAGAGCGTCTAGAAGCAGCAGCCCCTGTGAGGAAGCATGAGAGGAAGGCAAAACCCTAGTTGGCAGTACTCATGTCTGTTGTCTCACACTTGCTGGGAAACTGTTTGTACAACTCCACTGGGAGAGGACAGCAGGAAGCTCACGCTGGGTCCTAGAGCTCACCTGTGAGATCTCCAGGCAGGGCAGCTTGCCCACCTGGGCACCGGTGAAGCCATACACAGAGTTGGCACTTATCTTCAGCGCTAGCTGCCGCCCATCCAAGACCTGCCGGCGCAGGGGGTCCGTCTCCTTGGCTAGCTCGGCCTTGGCCCTGCAAGGGGGGTGGTGAGGACAAAGGTCACTCAGGTGGCACCTGAGGAGACAGAAGCCTGGGTACAGGCCAGGCAGCTTTCTGGAAAAGGATGCCCTATATAGCATCCATGGGACCTGGACCACTTAGAAGAGGGTGTCTTTCTCTAAGTCACACAAAGACACAGATGAGTGGAGCCGGGTGGCCCTGGGATAACCCAGAGGGGTATGGGAACTGCCGAGAAGCCTAAGCAAGTTTAAGCAGGGGCGGGGGACTCAGATTACCTTTTCCGGGCGCTGAGAAGGTTCTCCAGGATCTGTGGTAGCAGCCCCTTACGCACTGATGTCTTCACAAACTCATCCCCTGTGGGTGTCTTGATGAACTGCTCTGAAGTCAGGCTGGGTCAGAGGTGGGTGGGACATAACTGCCTGGCCTTTCCCTTCTCCCTCTAGCCCCACCTCTGCCCTTGCATTGGTGTGAGCGGGCTCAGGCCCTCCAAACTTCCCCACCTCACCTGCCTCTCCCTCCCTCACTCTGTCTGTGCCCACCAGACTGGGAGTCCCCTGGGGGCAGGGCCTTGGCCGGCCTATCTCTGGCCCCTGGAGGCCTCAGAAGATGTGTGTGGGGTAGGGGTGTCTGTACCCCAGCTTCTGGGCAGCGCCAGGCCGCAGCAGAGTGGTATAGCACAGGTTATGAGCCATCATGATGGACGGGTATAGAGAGGAGAAGTCCAGGGTGGCGATGGGCACGTCATAGTACCTGGGGGCAGGGAGGGGAGGAGTCAGGCTGAGGCCCCCACCACCCCCTGCCTGGCTGCAGGGTCCGGGACCTCACCCTTTGAGTGGTTCGATGACCGTGGCCCCTGTGTAGTCTTCACCTCCCTCTGTCTTCACCACAGGCATCACCAGCCCCTGGCGCATGGCCTGGAGGGAAGAGGGGAACAAGCAGGTGGAGGGATGAAGGGGAAGGAAAGTCTCAGATGCCAGGGCCGTGGGGGAACCTAGTGGGTGTGGGGGCATGGGGGCCCACTGACCTGCCGAAGCAGCTGGGATACGACCTTGACCTGCTGGCCGCGGGTGAGCAGGTAGCCGAGGGGCACACCGGTGACACGCGCCATCTCCACAGAGTTGACTAGCACCATGAGCCGCTCGAGTAGCCGTAGCGGCAGGAAGGCATCCTTGAGGCAGTACACGGCCAGGCGGCGACGCGTCTGCTCATTCCCGTTCTGGGGGCGGGGGCAGGGGACCGGGGTTGGCTCCTGAGTGGCCAAGGGAGGGCGAGAGTCTAGGTGGGGGAGTGGAGGGAGGTCAGGTGTCAGGGTCAGTGTGAAGAGCCAGTGTGGACTAGAGGTCAGGGGCGGGGGAGGAGAACAAAGGTCGTAGGGCCAGAGGTCGTGGGAGTAGGCAGAAAGTCGAAGTCAGAAGAGTAGACAAAAGGATTAGGTCAGAGGTTAAGGGGTAAGAGTTTAAGGTGAGAGGCTGCGAGAACAGGTAGGACCCTGAGGTCAGAGGAGCAGATGAAAGGGTGAAGTTGGGAGGTAAGTTTGGGAAAACAGGTAGAAGGTTGCAGTCAAAGGTCAGGAAGGTAGGCAGGAGGCTGAGGTCAGAAGAGTAGGCAAAAAGGTCATGTCAGAGGTTAGGAGCTAGGATGTTAAGAGGTCGAGAGAGCAGGCGGGAATTTGAGGTCAGAGGACAGGGGCGTAGACAAAAGGGTGAGGTCAGAGGTCAGGAGGCTAAGGTGAGCAGGAGAAAAGGTGGGCAGTTGAGATCAAAGGGTCAGGGAAGTGAGTGAGTGGCTGAGGTTAGGAGGGTGGGTGAGAGGGTGAGGCTGGGGGCAGGGTATGAGGTCAGAGAGTGAGGTTGGGCACCTGGAGGTCAGTGATGATGCTGTGCTGCACGTCTTCCTTCTGCTCACCCAGGAAGTGGAAGCTCACAGCATTGAGCGTGTAGGAGCGCAGCTTGTACTCCCGTAGCAGCACCTGGACCGGGCGGGGGAGGCATGGTGGGCGCAGGCCAGAGAGCGAGCACCTGGGCCGGGCTGGGGAGGCACGGTGGGCGCAGGCCTGAGAGCGACCTGCCTGCCCACTCGCTGCCGTACCTGCAGCATGTCCATCTGCACGCGTCCCACCATGCTGACCACCTTGCTGTCCCGCCGGCCCATCTGCTTTGACTGGAAGGATGAGTCACGGATAGTAGAGCAGAGCCCAGAGACGCGGCCCAGGAAGGGGAATCCATGTACCTGGGGGGATAGCCCAGCAGGTGGATGTGGTGTGGGCTGGCTACGTGGACAGAGACCAACCACGACACCCCCAAGACAGCACATCATCCCTGGTGGGAGCCATGGGAGGCCAGGCAGCTCTGGGGGTGGGAGACTCCTCTGAGGTCGTGTGGGGGATAGACTGGAGGTGGCAGAATGGAGTCTGGGGAGGAGGCAGGGCAAGATTCCAGGTGGAGAGGGCAAAGCAGGGGCCAAAAGGGATGGGCTGTGGGGCACCAAGGACCACTGGCCACCACCAGAAGCTAGGAGAGAGGCATGGAACAGATTCTCCCTTAGCACCTCAGAAACAGTTAACACGGCCGATACCCTGATTTCTGACTTCTAGCCTCCAGAACTGTGGGACAATACATTTCTATTCTTTTAAGCCACCTAGTTTGTGGTGGCTTGTTATAGCAGCCCTAGGAAACTCATGAAGAGCTGTCTTAGTCATCTAGAGCTGCTATAACAGAAATACCACAAGTGGATGGCTTTAACAAACAGAAGTTTATTCTCTCACAGCTTAGGAGGCTAGAAGTCTGAATTTAGGGCGCCAGCTCCAGGGGAAGGTTTTCTCTCTCTGTCGGCTCTGGGGGAAGGTCCTTGTCAGGGCAGGAATCCCAGGTCCAAAGGACACACTATTCTCCTGGCTCTTGTTTCTTGGTGGTATGAGGTCCCCATGTCTCTCTGCTCGCTTCTCTCTTTTATATCTCAAAAGAAACTGACTTGAGACACAACCTGATCTTGTAGATTGAGTCCTGCCTCATTAACGTAACTGTCTCTAATCGTGCCTCATCACAGAGGCAGGATTTACAACACACAGGAAAATCACATCAGATGATAAAATGGTTGACAATCATACAATACTGGGAATCATGGCCAAGTTTACACACATTTTGGGGGGACAAAATTCAATCCATAACAGGAGCCCTGTGGGGCAACGGTTAAGCGCCCAGCTGCTAACCCAAGGTTGGCGCTTCAAACCCACCTAGCAGCTCCTTGGGAGAAAAACCTGGTGATCTGTTTTCGTAAAGATTACAGCCTAGAAAACCTTATGGGACAGTTCTACTCTAAAAATGTGGATTTGCTCTGAGTCTGAATTGACTTGACGGCATCCAACAACAACAGGAAGCTCACACAGGGGCCATGAGAGCCATTTTTCATTACAAAATTGGCCACATGAACAGTAGGAACAAAATACAGCATACCCTATATACCCATACCCCCATTCAACAAGTATTAAGATGTTGCCACATACTCCGAGGAACCCCCCCTTTTTCTTTATTTTAAAATTAAGCCTAAAAAAGGGGTCATGTGTCCTGACGTGCTTCAGTCCACACCCTGGAATCCACAGGCCTTTTCTCACTTAGCCAATCACGTATCGCCTCGTACAAAAGCACTGGTAACTTTCTGGACTTTGGGCAGGGCGGGAGCGGGGCAGAGCTGGGTTTTCCAGGATGTCTTGAGCCACTGGGAGTGAAGGACTGCACGGGCTGGTGGTGGACTGAGCCCAAAGGAGCCCCCTTCCCAATACTGTGCCCTTACCTTGAGGGTCTGGGCTCGGGAGATGAGGTACGGAAGGTCAAAATTCTGAATGTTGTAGCCCGTGATCACATCAGGGTCCATGGTGCGGACGAAGGTGGACCAGGCCTGGGGGACGAGAGCACACAGGGTCACCCAGGGCATGCCCCTGCCGGGGACTCCCCACTCCCAGAATGTTCTGGAAGCTGCCAAAAGCAGCCCTAGTGCCCTCCTGCCCACAGTGGAAAGATACGGCTGCCATTTCTGAAAATGCTAATGCAGACTCGAGGGAAAATGTTTGCCCCCTCAGCACACAGGGATCCAGAACCACCCACATGGGAGTCAACATCCAGGGACACGCCCAGGTTGGCCGACTGGCTGGGATGTGGGCTTGGGGGGTACAAAAGACAGTCACCTGGAGCAGCTCATCCTCATGCTCATAGCTCTGCACCTTGGCGCCCAGGATGGGGGCGCAAGGCCTCAGGGTGAGTGCCAGGCGCAGGAAGGGCTCTGACTCGCCCCAGCGCAGCCCCAGTGAGCAGATTTGGATCACGGGGTCCCGCTCCGGCTCAGGGAAGATGCCTATGGAGGGAAGGCAGGTGCCGCAGAGGCACTGACTCCTCTCCCCATCACAACGCACAGGTTAGCTGCACCCCTAAACCTGGCCAACTGGGCCCTGACTACAGCGCTCCTCCCTGCCCCGACTCTGCCTTCCCTGCACTCTCTCCTTTGATCTCCACACAGAAGCCTGATGGGTCCCAAACACACCCTTCAACTTTGGGGACTCCTCAAAACCCTCAGACCCTGAACAATTTACCCCATTCCCTCTCTGCCCTCACCTCCTACTCTCTCCCTTACTCACTCTGTCCCAGCCACACGGGCCTTCTTGACATTCCTCACACACCTCAGGACAGTCTCACCTCAGGGCCTTCGCACCTGCTGTTCTCGCCACTGGGAATGCTCTCCCTGCCCCCACCCCACTCCCATCTCTTCATAGGGCTGTCTCCTCCCCTTCAGGACTTCCCTGCGCACCCTGTCCAAAGCAGCCCTCCTACTCCCCACCACTGCCCCCTTGGCGTTTCCAGACTTAGGATAACTCTCATCTACTTATGTGCTAAGGTGACATGTCTTTCTCCTCGCCGGTATGAGCTTGAGAAGGCCGGGGACACAGGGACTCAGTTGCTTTTGCTCCCAGCGCCTCCCTGTCAGTGCCCGGCACAGGGTCTGCCCATAACTGACGTCCAAGGGAGGGGCAGGGAGCAGCCCCGGGCCCAGGACGGACCTTTGCGACCAGCACACTCGATGTCGAAGCTGAGCACACGCAGAGGTGCAATCCGCTGCCAAGGCCCCTCTGGAGGGTGACTGACCACGTCGGACCACAGCACGTCCGCCTCCAGCTGACACAGCGTGGTCTGCGGCGGAGGCCAGTGTGTCGGTAGCAGCATGTCCCAGCTCCCCCACCCCCCGGGAGCCCGGCCCGCCCCCAGCCTCAAGTGCACCTTCCCCTCGGGCCTCAGGACGTATTTCCCAGCCGGGAGTTCCAGCCAGTTGCAGCCGACAATGTCCATGTCCACCATGAACCTGCAGGGGGCTGGGGGTTAGTGGGCAGAGGCTGCCAGAGTGGGAAGGGGGAGAGTGAGCTGGAGAAGAGAGAGAGGAGCGGGAAGGGAGATTATACCGGATCTCAAAGTCCACGTTGGCCTCGTAGGGCTTGAAGCTGGGGGTGCCCAGGCCAGACACACGGATGCCCTGCTCCAGGAGGCGGCGGGCGGGTGCCACGAGGCGGGGCAAGGCCAGTGTGATGCGCAGGAACGGGGAGGGGCCGTGCCCATGGTACCCGAACATGCCTGTGGACACACGAGGCTGGGACCCGGCCCCATAGTCCTGAAACCCCACCCTCCATGGCCAACCAAAGCTGGCATTTACTCTCACGGGTGCAGAGCTCCACGGCCAGCACCGCGGGCCCCGTGAGCTCCTTCCCCCCGCGCTGGTCCCGGCTGATGGCTGCGCTCAGCTCCTGCTGCAGGTCGGCCAGGTGCTCGGCCCCAAAACCTGGGGGTGGGAGGGTAGGTTAGAGGTCGAGGAGCCTCCCGATGGCCAAGGGCGGAGATGGGGCACCGAGGGGCCTCCCAGAGCCACTCACCAGGGACTGCTGGAGTGTAGAAGTAGGGCACAAAGCCGTGGATGTGGCAGCAGACGGAGACGCCAGCATCGGTGACACCGAAGGCGCGGAGCACGGGCACAGAGCCGCGGGATGGCGGGGGCGTCCCAGGCAGAGGGAGGGGCCGGGCCAGGCCTGCAAGTCACAGGGTAAGACTGTTGTATAAATAGAATCGAACAGTATGTTGCATTTTGAGTCTGGCTTCCTTCACTCAGCATGACGCCCGTTATGGGTTGAATACTATTGTTAGCTGCCACCGAGTCAGCCCCAACTCATGGCGACTCCACGCACAATGGAAGGAAATGCTGCCCAGTCCTGTGCCATCTCCATGATTGGCTGTGGATGTGTCGAGATCTCATTGTCCACAGATTTTCAATGGCTTATTTTTGGAAGCAGATCATCAGGCCTTTCTTCCTTGTCTTAGTCTGGAAGCTCCACTGAGCCCTCCTCAGCATCATAGCCACACCCAAGCCTCCACTGCTCCACTGACAGATGGGTGGTGGCTACGCGTGAGGTGCACTGGCTGGGAAGTGAACCCAGGTTTCCTACACGGAAGGGAAGAGATCTACCACTGAACCACCACTGCCTTGATGGACTGAATGGTGTCCCCCCAAAAGATACGGCGGAATCCTACCCTCGGTACCCGTGAATGTGACCTTGTTTGGAAATAGGGTTTTGGAGACGTTATCAGTTAAGTTCACATGAAGTCATACTGGAATACGGTGGGTCCTAATCCAATGAGTGGTGTCCTTATGACAGAAGAGAGAGAGACAGAGGGAAGACAGCTACATGAAGAGGGAGATATGCTGCAGCTGCAAGACAAGGAACACCTGGGGCTGCCAGAAGCTGGAAAACCAACCAAACCCGTTGCCCTCAGGAGTTGATTCCGACTCATAGCGACCCTGTAGGACAGAGTAGACCTGCCCCGTAGGGTTTCCAAGGCTGTAATCTTTATGGAAGCAGATTGCCACATCTTTCTCCCATGGAGCAGCTGGTGGGTTTGAACCGCCGACCTTCCAGTTAGCAGCTGAGTGCTCAACCACTGCGCCACCAGGGCTCCTTCCAGAAGCTGAGAGAGAGAAAAAATTTCTTTCCCTAGAGTATTTGGAGACAGCATGGCCCTGCTGACACCCTGAATTCAGACTACTAGCCTCCAGGACTGTGAGACAACAAACTTCTGCTCTTGTTAAGCAGCCCAGTTTGCGGTACTTTGTTACAGCAGCCGCAACAAAAGAAACAAACTCGTTGCTGTCGTTTCTGTCTCACAGCGATGCTACAGGACAGTGGAGAAGTGCCCCACAGGGTTTCCGAGGCTGTCATCTTTATGGACGCAGACTGCTACGTCTTTCTCCTGTGCAGCAGCCGCTGGGTTTGAACTACCAGCTTTTCGGTTAGCAGCTGAGTGCTTAAATACTGCACCACCAGGGCTCTTTAACCACAGGTATAGGGATTAGGATTTATAACACATATTTTCAGGGGACACAGTGCACTCCATAACACCACTCAAGAGAGGGCAAAGCCAGACGGGTCCCTCCTCCTGCCTCTGTCCCCCAAACTCACCCACATAATGGTCGATCTCCAATTGCTGAAAGATGAGGGGATCCGTCTGGGGGTCCAGGGGAGGTGGGGAAGGCCGAAGCCAGCGGGGATCTAGGGCTGATGGGGAGAACTGCCCTGTGGGGGGAAGTGGGAGTACATGGAGTCATGGTGCCTCTCAGAAATGAGTAACCCTTCCGTCCCAACCACGATTGCTCAGATGGTATCTCAGGTGAAGACAGTCTGGATCGGGCAGGCAAACTCAGGAGCCTGTAGGGTCAAGGGTCGGGGGTCAGGGCAAAAGCTGCAGGCAACAGAGGTTGTATACTATCGAAGGGGCCATAAGTCAGCCTCTTGTGGGACTTAAAGTGGACCAGAGGTCAGGGATCAGGGTAGGGGTCACAGGACTCTGCAGCTGACTCCTGGTTCAAGATGAGGGGAGTGCAGGGGGTTCCACTCCCAGTCTCACCATCTGCAGTCCCCTCCGGGGCCGACTGTAGCTCCTCCTCCTGCTCCTGTAGCCTGCGCTCTGCCTCCATCTCCTCCATCAGCGCCAGCTCCTCCTCAAACTGGGATGGCCGAGGCGTGTCATCCTCATCCCAGAAGCCCCCACGGGCCCGCTTCGGGGGCACCCCAGCTCCCGGAGCTGACTGCCGCTTGCCATCCATCTTGCTGGGCAAGTCGGGGCTGGGTGACAGTTCCAACCAGAGACACCCTGCTGAGCGACGGATCACTTTTTTATGGCCTTTCTCGTCATGGTCTTGTAACTACCACCACATGACTAGGTGGGACTATGCAAACGTGGCCCAAGAAAGGGATTGGACAGCTTGCTGATAATGCAAATAAAGTGCATGGCACCCTTGTGGAAGTGGGACCATGCAAATAAGGTATATGAAACCCTAATGAGGGGATTGGTCAGTTTGCCATCACACTAGGCTTAAAATGAGCCATCCAGAGGCAGACGGGGGGGACCTCACTACCACCAAGAAAGAAGAGCCAGGAGTGGACTGCATCCTTTGGGCCTGGGGTCCCTGTGCTGAGAACCTCCTAGACCCAGGAGACAGAGAAAGACAGAGTTATAACACTGGAGACAGCGCAAGATGGCAAAAAGTAAAAGCAGACAAATGGTGGCAGCAGAACCAGGAGACTGGCGCGGTGGGCTTCCCAGCCCATGGAACAAGAGGGTTACAGTGGGGTGTCTCTGGGCACGTGGTGGAGCTAGGTTTGCTGACCCACAGAGTGACAGAGATGAGCACCTTCAGGCAGGAGGCTTAGTGGCAGAGTGGGATGCCTCTGGGCACTTATCCATGGAGCTAAAGAGTTTTGTAACACTTGCCTGAGCAAGGCAGAGGCCTGAGGGGCTCAGGACCAGGGAGAGGCCTGCCCGTGGCCATGACCAAGAAGCTGACCTGATGGAAGAACTGCCTCCTGAATCATTCCTGATCCTGAATTGTAACCTGTTACTTCCCTAAAAAAACACATAATCGTGAATAAGGTCGGTAAGTTATCTGTGGCCACTGCAAGGAATTATCAAACTCCAGCAGAGAAGTAGAGAGTGCCATGCGAGGGACGGCTGGTATCAGAATTGGTAAAAAAAGGTTGGAAGGGGGAGGTATGTCTGACCTCTGCTTCACAGGAATCAGCCTTGGGCTGTTGATGCTGACAATGATTCTCCTCCCCCCTTGTGAAGTTAGGCCAGGAGGTCTGAGGACACTGCTGCCAGGCCATTTTTACACACCCCTTTCCCTGTCTTCTCCATGGTCTCCTGTGCACCTACCATGACAAAGAGCCTTTTAATTCTCTGAAGTGGCTGAAGATTAACACAAGTCTGCAGGCTTATGGGGTGCCTGGCACATTCCAGATGCTCAATAATTGTAAACTAATGTAATTACGTCCCATTTCTCACCTCAATTTAACCCTTTCCTCACATGCTCGAGCCCCCCCATCTGAATTCCCATTTATCTCCTCCTTGTAGGGCCCCTCATCCCCACATATTCTCTACCCTCTCACCATCACAAACTTTTTGTTGTTGTTGTGTGCTGTCAAGTATATTCCAACGCATAGCAACCCCATGTGACAGAGAAGAACTGCCCCATAATGTTTCCTAGGCTGTAATCTTTATTGGAGCAGATCACCAGTTCTTTCTCCGGCAGAACCAATGGGTGGGCTTGAACCATCAACCTTTTGGTTAGCAGCCGAGTGCTTAACCGTTGCACCATCAGTGCTCCCCACTGCTTAACAGGTACCATTTTTTGGGGGTGGTGGTGAAAATGTTTTGGAACTGGATAGTAGTGATGGTTGCATAAGATCGTGAATGTACTAAATGCTGCTGGATCGTACAAAAGAGTACATATTGCACGATGCCATTTACACGAAATTCTAAAATAGACAAATAGGCAAGACCAATCTATGGGAACAGCAATCAGATTACTGGCTGCATCTGTATTGGGAGAGGTTGGCTGGGAAGGGGCATGAGGGAGTCTTCTGGGGTGATAAAATGTACCATACATCCAACAGCACACTGAGATCTGTGCAAGGATTAAGACTGCATGGAAATTGCACCTCAATTAAAAGCACAACCATTTGGTGTCTGTAATTCCACATCTAGGAATTTATGCTAGAGATGTATCATCACATATGAAAAATACACCTTTACAAGGTAATTTCCGGCAGCATTGTTTAAAATCACAAAAGACTGGAAACCACCTAAATGTCCTCCTCTACGGGACCGTTCAAATAAATTACGGTCAGTCCATTCAAAGAACTACTATGCAGCGGTATATAGGAATGAGGAAGCTCTCTATGAACTGATACGGAAGGACCTCAAAGATGCATTGTAAGTAGAGAAAGCAAGGTGCAGAATGGTATATTTAAAATGGTGTTTAAAAAAAACACAATGTTGAAAATGTTTATCCTGATTCTAGTTATTACGAAACAGTTGAACAGATTCAAACTGAAGGGTGGCCTGCAAAATGACTGGTCTTAAAAAAAAAAAAAAAGGCTAGGAAGAAATTCTTCTATATTCAAGGAGACTAAGGAGACACGAAGGAGCCCTGATGGTGCACTGGCTAAGCGCGCAGCTGCTAACCTAAAGTTCAGCAGTTCAAACCCACCCAGTGGTTCTGCGGGAGAAAAGACCTGGTGATCTGCTCCCATAAAGATCACAGCTTTGGAAACCCTATGGGGCAGTTCTACTCTGTCCTGTTGGGTTGCTATGAGTCGGAATCAACTCAACAGCACACAACAACAAAGGAGACATGACAACTAAATGCAACGCGTGATTAAAGAACAAAAAAGAGCTCTGAAGATATTACTAGGAAAACGAACTAAGGACAGCCCATTAGATAATAACACTGTCTCCGTGTTAAATGTCCCGAGTATGATAATTATACTCTAGTTATATTGGTGGGCATCCTTGATCTTGGGAGACACCTGCTGGAGTTCCTGGAGGGGAAGTATCATGAGTTAGTCTGCAACTAACTTTCAAACGTTGTTAGCTGCTGTCAAGCTGGTCCCGGTCATAGTGACCCCATGTACAACGGGATTAGACCGCTGTGCTCCATACGGTTTTCACTTGCTGATTTTCAGAAGTAGATCACCAGGCTTTTCTTCCTAGTCCATCTCAGTCTGGAAACTCCGCTGAAACCTGTTCAGCATCATAGCAACACACAAGCCTGCGCTGACAGATGGGTCGTGGCTGCACATGAGGGGCACTGGCCAGGAGCTGAATCCAGGTTTCCCGCATGGAAGAGAACATAAAAAACCAGCTGACGGTGAATAAATTCTGCACTGCAATGAATCCTTTTTATACGGCCTTTCTCGCCATGGTGTGTAACTCCTACAAAATGACTGGGTTTGTGACTCCTACAAAATGACTGGGTGGGACCATGAAAATAAGGTACTTGTGGCCCACCAAGGGGACTGGATAGCTTGCTAATAATGCAAATACGGTGCATGGGACCATGCAAACAAGGTGTATGGAACCCTAATGAAGGAATTGGTCGGTTTTGCCATCCTGCTAGGCTTAAAAGAGAGCCAATCCCATGACAGAGGACCTCACTACCACTAAGAAAGAAGAACCAGGAGTGGAGTGTGTCCTTTGGGCCCAGAGTCCCTGCATTGAGGACCTCCTAGACCCAGGAAACAGAAAGAGAGTTGTAACACCGGAGATGGCATGAGACGGCGAGAAGCAGCAGCAGTAAAACAGTGGCAGAGAGACAGTGGCAGCAGAACCAGGAGACTGGAGTGAGACAGTGCAGTGGGCTTCCCAGCCCACAGAGCAAGGCCGTTTAAAGTGGGGTGCCTCTGGGCACTTGGTGGAGCTAGGCTCGCTGACCCATGGAGCTGAGCACCTTTGGACCGATGCTTGCTGGCAGAGTAAGGTGCCTCTGGGCACTTATCAGTGGAGCTAAAGAGCTTTGTAATACTTGCTCAAACAGGGCAGAGACCAGGCCAGCCCAAGAGGCCCAAGGAGCTGAGGGCCAGGGAGAAACCTGCCTGTGGGCACAACCGAGAAGCTGCCCTGACCAAAGAACCATATCTTGAGTCGTTCCTGATCCTGTTACTGCCCTAATAAACACCATAATCGTGAGTATTGTCTGTGAGTTCTGTATGGCCATTGCAGAGGAGTAGAGAGTGCTATGGGCGGGACGGCTGGCGTAGGAATTGGTAAAAAGGTTGGACAGAGGAGGTACATCTGACCTCCACTTCATAAGAGTCAGCTTTGGGCTGTTGATGCTGATAATAATTCTTCTCTCATTCTCCTTGTGAAGTCAGAGTAGGAGTTCTGACACCGCTTGCCATGCCATTTAGACAAATTCCAACTCGTGGCAACCCCGTGTGTGTCAGAGTGGAACTGTGCTCCATCAGGTTTTCAGTGGCTGATTTTTTGGAAGTAGACTGTCAGGCCTTTCTTCCGAGGTATCTCTGGGTGGATTTGAACCTCCAACCTTTTGGTTAGCAGTCAAGTGCATTAACTGTGTGCACCACCCAGGGACTCCAAAGAGAATATAACAATCATGAATAACGAGAATTGCCTACACTTATCTACCTTGTGGATTGCTGTTTTTCTGTCTCCTCCAGCTGGACTATGAGCTATGTGCAGGGAGGGATTCTGTCAGCTTTTTTCCCTGATGTATCCCAAGAGTCTACAACAGTGCCTGGCACATGGAAGACACTCAAGAAATATTTGTCACCCTGAGACCAGAAGAACTAGATGGTGCCCGGCTACCACTACCAACCGTTCTGATCAGGGCCACAATAAGTGGATCCTGATAGAATGGGAGAAAAATGTGGAACAGAACCTCAAATTCCTAAACAAAACAAAACAAACAGACTTACTGGACCAGTTGAGAATGAAGAACTCTCAGAGACTGCTGCCCTGAAATACTCTCTAAACCTTGAACTAAAACTAGCTTGAAGTCACCTTTTAGCTAAATAGCAGACAGGCTCACAAAGTAAAGAATACCACCCATGAGTACTGTGCTCCTTTAAAAAATCATTTATATAAGACCAAATGGTCACCAATTACTTTAAAACAAAGATGAGAAGATAAGGAGGCAGGGAAACTAGATTAATGGAAATGGAACAACTAGAATGGAAGTGAGGATGTTTACATATTGTGAACAACGTAACAAACATCACTAAACAACTTGTGCAGAAATTGTTAAACGGGAACCTAAACTGCTATGTAAACTTTCACTGAAGACACAATAAAAAACCCAAAACCGAACCCACTGCCGTCGAGTCTATTCCAACTCACAGCAACCCTATAGAACAGAGTAGAACTGTCCCACGGGGTTTCCAAGGCTGTAAATCTTTATAGAAGCAGACTGCCACATCCTTCTCCTACGCAGTGGCTGGTGGGTTCAAACCAACAATCTTTCAGTTAGCAGCTGAGCACTTAAGCACTGTGCCACCAAGGCTCCTTGAAAGCATAATAAAATATTATTTAAAAAAAAAGTTTGTTGAATGAATGAAGAGCCTCCTTCTTCGTCTCCTGCAGTCCACCCTGCCCCATTCCAAATACTCTCCACTAGGTAGCCGAGGGATCTCTCCTCTTATTGCCCCAGCTGCCCCATTCCAAATACTCTCCACTAGGTAGCCAAGGGATCTCTCTTCTTATTGCCCCAGCTGCCCCATTCCAAATACTCTCCACTAGATAGCCAAGGGATCTCTCCTCTTATTGCCCCAGCTGCCGCATTCCAAATACTCTCCACTAGGTAGCCGAGGGATCTCTCCTCTTATTGCCCCAGCTCCCATTTCCCTCAGAATTAAAGTGCTCATCGTGGCCCATAAGGCACCGTACCACCCACCCCCCTTTTCTCTGCCCTCACCTACAGCCCTCTCCCCCTCGATCACTTGGATCTAGCCACAATGGCATCCCTGCTGTTCCTTAAACACACCAGGCTGGGTCCTACCTCAGGACCTTTGCACGGGCTGTTCCTTATGTCTGAATGCTCTTCCCCCAGAAGTTCCCATGGCTCCCTCCCTCCCTCCCTTCAGGTCTTTGCTCAAATGTCACCTCAGTGAGGCTTTCCCTGACCACCCTGCTTAAAACTGCAGCACTGCCTCGCCCTGCCCCTACCCACACCCCGCACCCATCCTGGCACTTTCCAACCACTTTCCCTGCTTTATTTTTCTTGCTAGCACTCATCTCTGTCTGATGGACTGTATCAGTGGTTCTCCAAGTGTGGTCCCCAAACATGGGAATCTGTTGGAAATGCTAATTCTCAGGCCCTGCTCCCCCCCTACCAAAAAAAAAAACAACCATTGCTGTCGATTCGGTTCTGACTCACCGTGACCCTATAGGACAGAGTAGAACTGCCCCATAGGGTTTCCAAGGAGCGGCTGGTAGATTCGAACTGCCAGTCTTTTGGTTAGCAGACGAGCTCTTAACCACTGTGCCACCAGACCTAGGGAGCCAGGAACTCTGGAAGTGGGGCCTGGCAATCTCTGTTTTAGCAAGCCCACCAGGTGATTCTGACTCTGATGCTGCTTGAGTCTGAGAAGCACTGCTTGTGTTACCTTATTTATTGTCTGTTCCCGCTGCTAAAATAGGAACACCATGAAAGCAGGGATTTTGTCTTCTTTTTCCTGCTATATCTCATCTGGTGGCAAAGTGGTTAAGAGCTCAGGCTGCCAACCAAAAGGTCGGCAGTTCAAATCCCCCAGCCTCTCCTTGGAAACCCTATAGGGCAGTTCTACTCTGTCTTATAGGGTCGTTATAAGCTGGAATCGATTCAACGGCACACAACAACAAATCTCATCCAAGGAGCCCTAGTGGCACAATGGTTAAGCGTTCGGCTGCTAACCAAAAGGTTAGCATTTCAAACCCACCCAGTGGTTCTGCAGGAGAAAGATGTGGTGATCTGCTTCCATAAAGATTACAGCCTGGGAAACCCTATGGGGCAGTTCTATTCTGTCACATGGAGTTGATATGAGTCAGAATCGACTTAATAGCATCTAACAATAAATCTGGAGCACTGGTGGCACAGTGGTTAAGAATTTGGCTGCTAACCAAAAAGGCTGGCAGTTAGAATCCACCAGCTGCTCCTTGGAAACCCTATGGGGCAGTTCTGCTCTGTCCTATAGGGTCTCTATAGTCCACTCGACAGCAACAGTTTGGGGTTAACAATATATCTTATCTACCTACAAGAGTGCCTGGGACAAAATAGGTGCTCAATAAACATTTGTCTGAATGACAGATGAAGGTGGGAACTCACAGAATCCTCCCAAAACCCTCTGAGGTAGGTGTTGCTATCATCACCTTTTACAACGGCTGGAACTGAGGCCTAGAGAGGTAAAACAACCTGCTCAAGGTCACACAGCCAGCCATCAGGGACAGAGCCAGGGCTCAAACCTAGGCAGCCTGGCTCCAGAGCCCTGATGTTAACCACCACTCCATTCCACTGTCCTCTCTGTGTGGCAGGAGAGAGACAGAGTAACACAGGCAAGAGCAAGACCTGCCCTCCAGATTCACAGTCCAGTGGGGGAGACAGCCTTTGAAGATGATGGATTTGTCTGCTTGTTTACCACTGTACCCCCGGCCCACACATATCTATCGAGCACATGATTAACTATTCACTCCTGCCCTCCAGAAAACTTCTCCACACTTTCTACACATTTGCCTTGTCCCTTCCCTGGGCCTCTCTGAATGTTGCTGCCCCTGGCACTAGCCTGGGAGTGTCCAGCCTGTGTCTACCTCTCCCACTAGACCAGAGGCCGCTTGAGGGCAGGGCAGGATCTCACTCCTCTCTGGGTCCCAGCACAGGGCCTGGCCCCTGGAGGCCTCAGGAAGTGTTTGTGGGATAAAATCCTCCTCTTTCTCGCCACCTGACTCCTATGCATCCTTGGAGACAGCTGCAGCTCCAGCCCTTCAGGCTCACAGGTGCCTCTCAGGGCTCCCACATCTACTTCCCTTATTACACGTGCACACCCTAGGCTAGGGTCTCCTTCAAGCCAGGGTCCTCAGCATCACCCAGCACAATGCCTGGAACACAGGCCACTTCAAGTCATGCAAGTTTAGAGTCCCCTCAAGTGACACCAGAGTTCCTGGGTGGCGCAAACGGTTAACATTCTGGCTGCTAACAGAGGCTGGAGGTTTCATTCCATCCACAGGCACCTCGGAAGAAAGGCCTGGCTAGTATTTCTGAAAAATCAGCCATTGAAAACCCTATGAAGCACAGTTCTACTCTGACACACGTGGAGTTGCCCTGAGTCTGAATCGAATCAACGGCAACTGGTTTCAAGTGTTATCAATCCCAGCAGGTATGGCAAAGAGGGGAGGGATCATATTTAGTTTAAAAGTAAAGAATAAAGAATGACACCATGCTCCACGCGCACTATTCAGTTCCCCAACACCTCCCCATCCTGTCGCTCCAAAGACCCTACCAGCGCGTCACCCCGAGACCCGGAGCTCGGCGAACCCCGCGTATGTACCCCTGCAGTCGAGAACCTCCCCCCGCATGTGATCTCCCCGCGCGCGCCTGCGCACGCGCCAGGGGATCACTGGCCCCTGTCCCTATTCTGCGTGCGCCCCCGAAGCAAAGTGTCTCCCTCCTGCCGCCAGTTCCACGTCACCCCTCACAACCCTGTCTCACGTCCATGTGCCGGGCTCCTCAAGCCGCCTCCTCTGCCAGGTCGAAGCCCCCAACTGCCCTTCTACCTTAACTCACCCGCTTCAAACAGCGTTTCCCGCCACAGCCGACGCCGCCGTAACCCCCTGACACAGGCGCACGCAGGCGCATAGCCGCCGCGTCCCGAGCCGTGCCACGCCCCTTCCACCCAAATAGGGGAGAGGCCACGCCCCACCCTTCAATTTGGCTTCTCTGGCCGCGCCCCGTTCGTCCCGCTAGGGAGCAGGCCACGCCCACTTCTCCCAACTTGGGATGTGGCCTCGCCCCCTCATGGCTGGTGTGGCCCAAAGCCACGCCCCCTCCGTGTTGCCGATGAAGAGGCCACGCCCCGCTGCGAGTTCATGGTTTGGCACTGCTTGCGCGCGCGCAGCAACCCTGGCTTTTCCAGATTCTTCCCCGCCCTTCCCCCCCACAGCCCGGGCCACTCGAGTGCTGCGCGCGCATCCTCCGGCTTCCTGCCTGAGAGCATGTGGGAAGAAGAAGCTAGACGCTGCGCTTCGGTTTGCCTGCGCTGGTCTCGATTCGCGTTTACTGCAGATCCAGGCAGATACGAATTGCGGTCCTGGCCTAGCCTCTTCGCCTGTCTCACGGCCTCAGTTTTCCCCTCTGTAAACTAGACCCAGCGCAGGGAGGGCGGCACCGCCAGGCGTAGGGCGATCACATATAACCATCCCCTTCCGAAATAAACGTACCTTTCGTACCCAGCCCATCCCTGCATACAGGCCACTCTTCACCCTGGACAGGTACTGTCTGTCCAGCTTACCTTGGTGCCCCCTCAGGACCTGGCTCGGAGGAAGGAGTAATTGTGGGAACACAATGGCCAGCCCTTGTTCTAAACTAACTCAGCAGTTTTCTTACCTTCCAGACTGTGCCCGTGGGTTCCCTCAACTGGACTCCAGCCACTTCCTCATCTTTTAGGTCCCTGTGAAACCTCCTCTGACTTCCTCCTTAGACCTCCACACTGCCACGGGCCATTGCCATTAAAGCCCGTATTCCCATATATTCTGTCCCCATCCATCTCCCTGCTGCCAGCTCTGGCTGGTCACAATTTGAGTGTCATGTCCATTGATTTTTCAGTGCCTGCCACTGTGGAATATAGTGAAACCTGTGAGAGCCGGAACTTCACGAGACTGCCTTTTCTAGGTCTGGCAAGTTTTCCACCTTTAACAGAGTGCAGTCTTACCACTTTTCTATCACTATTATTTGTGTTTTTTTTCTCTGACAGGTTTCTACCTTACACAGGTTTTACTGTAGTAAACAATAAATATTTGTTGGATGGATGCCATCTGCATCCCAGAATGCCTAGCGTAGTGCCTCGTCCCCAGCAAACCAAATGTGGTGGGGTTGACTTCAACTCATGGCGGCCCCACGTGTGTCAGAGTAGAACTGTGCTCCACAGGGTTTTCAATGGCTGATTTTTCAGAAGCTGATAGCCAGGCCTTTGTTCTGAGGTGCCTCTGGACGGACTCCAACTGCCAGCCTTTTAGTTAGCAGCCTGTTTGCCCCACCCAGGGACTCTAGGCCCACAGATTGCTGTTGTTAGTTGCCATGGACCTCAGTGAATACTTGCTGACTGAGCAAAAGCCCTGTCCCCTCATTCACTTATACCCATTTGTCCTTCACAAAGGTTCTGATTCACCTTGTACAAGAAGGTGGCCCCAGGCTGGCAGGCCCCTCCTCTGGATTTCCTGGGGCCCAGCACACAAGGCTTGGGCTGTGCTCATCTGGGTCTGACCTCAGCAAGCCTGTCCAGTGAGACCTCTACTGGACCAGCTCCAGGGGCTAGTGTGGTTGGAGACCCTGGCAGCCCACCTCCCTCCACCTCTTGATCACACTACAGCTGGGAGCAGGTTTGTATTCCTATTTTTCTGTTTCTTTTTTTTTTTTTTTTAAGTTTTTATTAAATAAAAGGAGCAGAGAGAGAGGGGGGCCCTCTGGTCTCTCGGGCTGTGGGGAGAGCTGTGGACCCTCCCCTCCCTCTGTTCAAGGTGCACTGCGCAGTGGGCTGGAGGTGTAAGCTGGGTGGGGAGGGCAACCAGGAGTGCTGGGAGAGGTCAGAGGTCGGGAACTGTGACCCCTCTGCCCTCCCAGGAAGACTTGCTGGTCAGGGAGGGAGCCTGCCTGGATGCTGTCCCAGCTCACCCCAAAGGCTGAGGGCTGGCAGAGCCACAAGGCAGGCCCCCAGGCCCAGCGAGACCCCTTCCCACCCCAGAAGGAGGAAGGGGCGGCAGCATCCATTTGTCGGGGGCTGTGGGGCAGGGTGGCAGGCCCCTCACTCGTGGACGTCCCAGATCTCTGACAGCAGGGGTGGCAGCTTCTTATCCTGGAGCCGCAGGGCGAAGACCTGCTCTGAGTGCACAGAGCTCAGCGTGCGCAGGCTCACCAGCTTCATCAGCATGCGTGGGAAGCGCAGCTGGTCCTGCAGGCGGGTGACAGTGGTGAGGAGGTACTGCCGAGTCCTGTCAGTGGATCCCAGGGGGCCTCCCTTGGACAGCCAGCTCGGGCAGAGTGTGGACTTGAAGACTGCCCCGACTCCGTCCAGCCTACCCACCCCCCACCACCAGGCCTAGACCAGGCCTGGCTCCTCAGTGGAAGGACAGGGAATTGAGGACAGACCTTGAGAAGGGACAGCGGCCAGAGCTCAGGGAGCCACTGTGGGGCAGAGACTGGGATTAACAGGGAAGCAGTACTCCAGCCCCAGGCGTGGCCCCTGAGGACTGACCCACGTGGGCCTGGCCCCTCACCCGGGCCTCAGTGCTGAGTTTCTGCTCTGGGTAGTTCGTACCTGTGGCCTCTTGATGCGCGTGTAGGAGAGCAGCGCCTCCACATAGGGCTGCTGCAGTGCCTCCACACGGCTGGGCTCCTGCACGTTGGGCCGGTCAGCCGAGAAGATGTTGATGGCAATGAGGAGGGCATACTCAGCATCGTCCAGGCCCAGCCGCCGCATGGCCCGTGAGAACTCAAAGATAGGGTTGATGAACTCCACCTGCAGGCCTGTGACGGGGCAGGGGCCACAGGAGGCGGGGTGTGGGAGGCCTGCCCTGCTCCATAAATTTCCCTGCCCTGAAACTGGCCACTACGTCCAGGGCCCTGACCTGCCCACCACCAGTGGCGGTTGATTATTATGTCCTTGTCATTTTTGTTCCCTTCTGTGTCCCCATGCCTATACAGGTGTCTGGTATGTTCCTGTCATTGGATGCCATCAGCTGATTCCAACTTATGATGACCCCATGTGACGTAGTAGAACTGCCCCACAGGGTCTCCTAGGCTGTAATCTTTATGGCCTAAGAAACTCTATGGGGCAATTCTACTCTGTCACATGGGGTCACTATGAATAATCTTTATGAAAGGAGCCCTGGTGGCACTCAGCTCTAAATGAAAGGTCAGCAGTTTGAACCCACCAGCCCCACCACAGAAGAAAGATGTGGCAGTCTGTTTCTGTAAAGATGACAGCCTTAGAAACCCTATGGGGCAGTTCTACTCTGTCCTATAGGGTCGCAGTGAGTCAGAACTGACTCCACAGCAGTGGGTTTTTTTTAGTTTAATCTTTACAGAAGCAGATCACCAGGGCTTTCTCCCACGGAGCCACTGGTGGTTTTGAACCGCCAACCTTTCAGTTAACAGCTGAGCACTTAACCATTCCACCACCAGGGCTCCTAGGAGATGCAACACCTCTTTCCTAGATGATGGCATGCGTAAGGAGAGAGAACATTTACTCAGTGTTGCCGACCCACTCTTGCTGAATGAAGGCAGCCACTTCTCTCTGGCTGCCCTGCATCTGTCCTTGTCCCAGAAGAAAGTCTTTAATCTTAGGTCATGTCACGTTACCCCCTTGGTGGCTCCCACTGCTCTTGGGGTAAAGCCCATACTTATTCCAAGACTGCCTCGTGCGTTCACTCAATTTCAGTGAGCACCTGCTGCGTGACTTCACCACTCATCTGTCAGTCTGTCACACTGTGGTGGCTTGCGTGACTAAATGATACTGGAAACTATGCCACTGGTATTTCAAATACTAACAGGGTCAACCGTGGTGGACAAGTTTCAGCAGAGCTTCCAGACAAGACAGACTAGGAAAAAAGGCCTGGCAATCTACTTCCAAAAATTAGCCACCAAACACCTTATGGATCGCAAAGAATACTGTCTGATATAGTGCTGGAAGATGAGCCCCCTAGGTTGGCAGGTACTCAGAATACACAGTGGTCACAACAATGGACTGGCACATACCAAAGATGGGAAGATGGAACAAGAGTGTGCAGCATTTTGTTCTGTCATACATGGGGTCACCATGAGTTGCCACCAACTTGATGGCAGCTAACAACACAAGTATGAGCGAGGCCCAGAGATACAGCCATCGCCAGCACAAAGTTGCTGCACTTGTGGAACCCACATTTGGAGGTTGAGGGGACAGACACTAGAAACACGTGTAAGTAAAATATCTAGCATGTCAGACAGTGATAAAGTTCTACGGAACAAAATAAAGCAGGAAGGGAAGGTTATTTGGATTGTTGAGGGTCACAGTTATGTTTTAGACAAGGTGGTTGGGGAAGGCCTCACTGTAGGGGGACATGGGACTCAAATGTGTCACTTGACCAATGAGCTGCAGAGGGGCTGGATAGAACTGCCCCATCCAGCTGTGTAGGTTGTACACTGCACAATGGACTGAGATTTAGCTTGCTCTCCGTCAGCTGAGATCAGGGTAAGGAGGAGTGCCTTTTCCTAATTCCCACCAAGCTGCCCTGTGTGACCGCAGAGACGCTATGTCATCCTCTGTGACACTTGACCTGAAGGCATCATTTCAGCAGTCACCCTAAGAGGAGAGGGAGTGACAACGGCATGTGAGTGGGCCAGGCAGGGTGACCAAGTGCCTAGTTTGCCTGGGACTGGGATTTCCTGGACCATGGGACTTTCAGTGTTAAAACCAGGACGAGTTGGTTAGCCTGGTTTCAGGCAGAGGGAAACAGCAAGTGCAAAGGCCCTGAGGCAGGAGCACACTTGGTGGGTTCAAATCAGAGCAAGAGGCCTGTGGGTTGGAGCTGAGGGAGCAATAGGAGAAGGTGGGAGATAAGGCCGATCCTGTGGGGCCATGTGGGCTCTGGTAAGTGCTTTGGTGGGTTCTGGGCAGAGGAGGGGTGTGAAGTGCCCTCTGGCGGCCGTGTGGAGAATAGACTGGATCAGGCAGGGGTGGATGCAGGGAGCCCTGTGCTGAGAGTCCCTGCATTATTCCAGGGAGGTCTGGACCAGGATGGTGGTAGAGAGGGGGTGAGAAGTGGCTGGATGCCCAGCCTCCTCCACAGCCCCATCTCTGTGTTCTCGCTGCCTTGGCCTCCTATAGTTCCTCAAACCCGGCAGCTCTTCCCCCACCTCAGGGCCTTTGTACATGCTGATCCCCCTGCCAGAAACACTCCCCCCTCCTAGTGCTGCCTTGCCAAACTCACACTTAAATGGTTCCTAGCACTGTCTTGGGTGGTGGGAGGGCCGGGGGCTAAAGGAAGAGGACACAGGAGCTGGGCCTTTGTGCACGCTGCAACCTGGCCTGCAGTGATACTCCCTGCCCCCATCCCCTAGGCGATGCTTCTCGCCCTTTGGGCCTCAGCTCAACTGCACTTCCTCCAGGAAGCCCACCTGCCTGCCCACATGCCCTAGGTAAATGCTCTTGGAGGGCAGGGACCAGGGCTGCTCCATCCAGCTGCATAGGTTGTATACTGCACAATGGACTATACACAATCCAGCCTGCTCTCCCTCAGCCTGGGTGGCAGTGCCTTTTCCTAATTCCCACCAAGATGCCTCCTGTGACAGCAGAGACACTCTGTGTCATCCTCCACTATGTCCCACCGTACAGAGCGCCGGTGCCCAATACACATGCTCTGGCCTCGCTGAAGGCTTGCTGTGAGGGTGGCTCACCCCTCACCTCCACTTTGGAGATAAAAAAAATGCAGGCTCAGCCAGGGGTGTGGCCTCGGAGCCTACCTGTCATGGATTGACTCTGCCCCCCGAAAACTTATGTGGACATCATAACCCCTGTACCCATCAACAGGACCGTTTGGAAATAGGACCGTTTGGAAATAGGGGGTTTCTTCTGCTATGGTAATGAGATCATGCCAGAGTAGGGTGGGTCCTAAACCTAATCCCTTCTGAGCGGTATCATGAAAATCAGAACAGACACATACAGGGGGAAGAGACTCACCCTGCGAGGACCTGTCTACAAGCAAAGGAACACCAAGGATTGCAGCAGCCACCAGAAACTAGAGGAGAGACTCCCAGAAGTGATCGACATGGATGACACCCTGAACTGGACTTTGTTGTTGTTGACTGCTGCTGAGTCGTTTTTCACCCACACTGACCCTATGTGACAGAGCAGAACTGCCCCGTAGGGTTTTCTAGACTATAATCTTTACAGAGGAGTCCTGGTGGCATAGTTGTTAAGCACTCAGCTGCTAACTGAAAGGTCAGCAGTTCAAACCCACCAGCCCACTCCTCGGGAGAAAGATATGGCAGTCTATTTCCATAAAGATTACAGCCTTGGAAATCCTATGGGGCAGTTCTACTCTGTCCTATAGAGTCGCTATGAGTCAGAATTGACTTGATGGCAATGGGTTTGGGTTAACCTTTACATGAGCAGATCACCAGGTCTTTCTCCTGTGGAGCTGCTGAGTGGGTTTGAACCACTAACCTTTCGGTTAGCAGCTGAGTGCTTAACTTTGTGCCACCAGAGCCTCCAGACCTCTGAGACGATCAATGTCTGTTCCCGAAAGCCACCCACCCCAGTGGTCTTTTTCTGTTACAGCAGCTCTAGGTGACTATGGTGCTGCGCTCAGCATACCTGCGCGGTGGAAGTCGTCCTTGCTGTAGGTGAAGTCCTTCAGAAAGGTGATGCACTCCGTCTCATGGTTGTAGCGCCTGGCCGTCTCCAGCAGCATGATCTGAGGGCAGCGGGGATAGGGAATGGATGGGGGCACAAGGGGGCCCCGGGTGACCCTTTAGCCCTTGGCACCCTCCCCTTTTGGCCCAAGTCTCAGTAGGATCATCACTTACCCCCTGACCCCCTGCTCTCTCGGCCACGTCAGCTCTGGTCAGCATGTGGAACTCTCCAGGCTCCTTCCCTCCCCTAGGCGCCAGCACACACTGTACCCTCCACTTAGAACACACTTTTCCCAGACCCGTACCAGGCACGGTAGCAGAGGTGTCTGTCTGGTTCATTGCTCTATCCCCTACCCCTAGAACAGAGCCCGCCTTACAGTAGGCTGTTGTTGTTGTTAGGTGCCCTGCCGTCGATTCCAACTCATAGCGACCCTGTATGACAGAGTAGAACTGCCCCATAGAGTTTTTTAGGCTGTAATCTTTACAGAAGATCACCAGGTCTTTCTTCCGCAGAGAAAGTGAGTCTGAATGTCAACCTTTTGATTAGCAGCCAAGTGCTAACTGTTGCACCACCAAGCTCCTATACAGTAGGCACTCGATACTTATTTGTTATCCTGTGCAAAGCCTTTTCGCACGTCCTTTCTAAAGCAGGCCTCTCCAGCCCAGTCCTTAAACTCAGCCCCTTGTTCCTCTCTCTCCTTGGCTCGGCAAAACTCTGCTGGTCCCATGTATGTATCTGACATCCACCACCTTCCCCTGTAAAGAGTCTTTGGATGGCACAAACTGTTAAGCACTCCATTACTAGCTAAAAGGTTGGTGATTCGAACCTACCCGGAGCCACCCAGAGGTGCCTTGAAGACAGGCCTGACAATCTGCTTCCAAAGGGTCACAACCTTGAAAACCCTATGGAGCGGTTCTACTCTGCACACACGGGGGCGCCATGGGTCAGTCAACTCAACAGCAGCTAAGAACAACATCATCATCTTCCTCTGTGAAATGTCACCCCCGAGAGGGCAGGGGCTGGTGGGTGCTGCTCACCACTACAAACCCAGCATCCACCCTGGGGCTCCTCTCCAGGGTCCCTTTGAATTGGGAGGGCGGGGCCTGGCTGGGGATGGGCGGGCCAGCTATTACCTCAATGGTGGATGCCTTGAGGAGAGCAATCTGGTCTTCGCGGCCCAGCTGTAGGAAGCCAGGCACCTGCTTGGCGAAGTCCACAATCTCCTGGACAGAGATGATGGCCAGCTCTGTGAAGTGGGCGAAGCGCTGCTGACGGGCATCACGGGACTGGGGGTCTGCACCCAGAGGCCAGGGCTGAGGACATAGGGGGGCCAGGGTCATGCACAGGGCTCCTTCCCGGAGCCCAGGGCCATGGGGGCACCTGGAGGCCAAGCCCCATTCTCTGGAACTCCTGCCCTTCCTCGCCCTGGGTCGCAGTCCTGCCAGCTCAACCCCATTGTGCCTGGCTCTCCTTGAGGCTGCACAAGGCTCCATACCGTGACTTTGGGCTGGTCAGAGAAGGAGCGCTTGTTGCACTGCAGCTGCGCCGCCACCAACTGCTGGATCATAAGTTCCTGAGCCGCGGTTAACTGGATGCCCTCTCCTTCCCCGGAGCCCTGGCTACTCCCTTCAGGCCCTCCAGGGGAGGCGCCAGGCCCAGAGGCTGAGCTGCTGCCGCTCCCTGACCCCACAGGTGACGACTGTTGCTGCTGTTGCTTCCGTATCTTCTTCTTCCGAATCTGTTCCTCAGAGAGGACGCCTATGGGGGAGCACGGACCTCAGCGGAGGCGCTGAGGAGGGTGGGCGCTGGGCTGGCACAGCCACCCACCCCACTGCCCGCACTTACACTGCTCCCTCATCCCCGCCTCTTTGCACTTGCGCAGTCGGCACTGCTGGCACTTGCGTCGCATAAAGGCGTCCATCTGGCAGGTTCCACCGCCCCTGCAGGCATAGCGCCCGGCCCCACCACGGACCACGCTGCGCCGGAAGAAGCCCTTGCAGCCCTCGCAGCTGAGTACATTGTAGTGGAAGCCGGAGGCCTTGTCCCCGCACACACGGCACAGCTCGTGGCCCAGCATCTTGGGAGCCGGGCCCTTCTTCCGCTTGCGCTCTGGCTCCTCGGCTGGGTCTGGGATGACTGGGGCAGTCAGAAGAAGACCATGAGAGAAGGGGCCACAGGGAGTCAGGCCCATGAGAGGTCCCAGGGTAGACAGCCCGAGTAGGGAGACATGAACATCCAGGGAGACGGAGACCCAGAAAGAAAGATGTGTCGGTGGACCCCAAAGAATGAATCAAAGCAAGAAGTGTTAAGGGCGAATGAGAGGAAAAAAATCAACAAGAGGCAGGGGCTTGCCATCTCCCCATCCTGGTTCTGATCTTTCTGCCTTCCTAGATCCCACCTCGAGCCCCCACACCTACTTCTACACCCGGCCCTGGGCCCCATCTCACCCACACTGCAGGCAGAGCCTGCCCCATCAGTGCCTGGGACATCGGGGTCTGGACCCCCAGGCCAAGGCTCAGGGCCCTCCTCCTTTATAGCAGGTGAAGAAGAGGGGGCTCCAGGCTGAGGAGGGCCATTTCCTGGGAGAGAGGCAAAAGGGAGGCACAGTGAGCACCTCCTTCCTGACCAGTGTGTGTATGTGGCGGGGGGCTGGGTGTGAGGCGGGGGACACTCACCAGGCAGGGGGCTATCCAGGGAACTGGTGGTGGGGGCGGACATGGTGGGGTCACGGAGCAGCCTGCAAAATAGAGGGTGATTAAGAGCCTCGAAAAGAGTCCTGGTGGCTCAGTGGTTAAGCACTGAGCTATAACCGAAGGGTTGGCAGTTCAAACCCACCAGCCACTCTTTGGCAGAAAGATGTGGCAGTCTGCTTCTGTAAGGATTACAACCTCGGAAACCTATGCGGCACGACTACTCTGTCCTACAGGGCCGCAATCGACTCGACAGCAACGGGTTTAAGAGCCTTGAGGGGTCAGGACGGGTCCTTCCAAAGCTAGTTACATTTACTAATGGGGTCCCCCTCCTTCTTCCATCTCTCCCAGACTCCTCCCCAACTTCATAAATATTGCAACACAGCTCCTGCCTTCAAGCCCTCTCATCTTATTCTAACAGGCTCTGCCTCTTTTTCTGCTCCGGCCTCCTCCCCGCCCCATATCCCACCCACCAGCTCTTCTCAGGCCCCGCCCCTTCTGCTTCAGGGCACGCCCTACTCCAAGCCTTCCTGCCCACCTGCTCTCTTCAGGTCCCACCCCTCCTCCTTCAACCTTGCTAAGCATTCACTCCTTCCTTCCATCAAATTTCACCCCACCTATGCTTATTAAGGAAACTCTGGTGGCATAGTGATTAAGGGCTAAGGCTGCTAACCAAAAGGTCAGCAGTGCAGATCCACCAGAAGCTCCTTGGAAAGCCTGGGGCGCAGTTCTACTCTCTCCTATAGGGTCGCTATGAGTCGGAATTGACTCGACAGCAACGGGTACTCTAAAGAAAGCCTGCTGCCGTGGTGGTTAAGAGTTCGGCCGCTAACCAAAAGGTCAGCAGTTCGAATCCCCCAGGTGCTCCCTGGAAACCCTATGAGGCACTTCTACTCTGTCCTACTGGGTCACTATGAGTTGGAATCCACTGGACAGAAATGGGTTTAGTTTTTTTCTATTACTCAGGAACCCTGGTGGCACGGTGGTAAGGAGCTACGGCTGCTAACTGAAAGTTCAGCAGTTCGAATCCACCAGTCCCTCCTTGGAAATCCTATGGGGCAGTTCTACTCTGTCCTTTAGGGTCGTTATAAGTCGGAACTGACCATATGACTACAGGTTTGGGTACTCTTACTCATATTCCACCTCACTTCTTCTAAGCAAACTTTCGTTCGGCCCCCATCTTTCCCTAGACCTCCAAGTTCTGCTCTCATCTCCACTTATCACGCCTGCCCCCCAACATCTTGCTCCAAGCCCCGCCCCATCCGTACCCCTCTCTATAAACCCCGCCCACCAACTCACTCCAGGCCCTGCCCCATCCCCCTCCCATCAGGTTCTTCCCCCATCCCCGTCATGCTCCACCCCCACACCTCACTCCAGGTTCCGCCCCTCTCCGAACACCAGCGGGGGGCGGGGCTCATGGCTGCGCGCGGGGGGTCTCGTGGGCGGCCTCTCGGGGTCTCCTGTTCCCGTTGCCCTGGAAACAGCCGGGGGCGGTACGAGTTACGGAGGGGCGGGGGTACAAGGAAAGAAGAGGGCTGAACAGAACGGCGCGCGGAGAGCAGAGAAGCCACAGGCCCGGGATTCCTCCCAAGCCCCCCCACTCTCGGGTGCACCTGGCTCTGTTCTCTTTCTCTGCCCCGCTTCCTCCTTCTCTGTATCCCCTTGCACGCCGCCACTGTTCGGGTCCCCTAAAAAGTAACTTCGCCACTTCTTCCGGCAACCCCGCTGTGCGTCACCTCCGGAAAAGGGCGGGGAGTAAAAGATGACAGAAATCCGGTGCGCGTAAGAACGGCTGAAACGGCTGCCCCGCACGGAAGTGGCACACCCACCGGAAGTTTGCTTTTGCCAGGTAGCTCCACTAGGATGTGACCGGAGAGTTCTGGGCCCATGCAGTCAAATGTTGTCCTTGAGGGGTCGTGGCCAGTCCCAAACCTTCCTGCCCTGCGCTGTGTGGCTTTAGCGCTTCTGTGGCCTCTCTGGGCCCTCTGGAGTTGAATCTGTGCGCTGGAGTTGAATCTGACTCATAGCGACCCTATATGTAACAGAACTAAACACTGCCCTGCCCTGTCCGCCGTTCTTACATCCATTTCTATGCTTGAGCCCATCATTGCAGCTACTTGTCAATCCATCTTGTTGCAGGTCTTCCTGTCTTTCACGGACCCTATACTTTTCCAAGCATGATTTCCTTCTCCAGGAACTGGTCCCTCCTGATAACACATCCAAAGTACGTGAGACAAGTCTCATCATTCTCGCTTATAATCAGCATTCTGGCTGTCCTAGATTCATTGTTTGAACATTCAATATTCCGATTATTAATGGATGTTTCCAGCTATATCTTCTCATTTTGAGTCATGCCACATCAGCAAATGGAGGTCCTGAAAGCTTTACTCCATTCAGGTCACTAAGGTCGATGCTACTCTGAGAAGGCAGCTCTTCCCCAGCTGTATTTTGAGCGCCTTCCAACCTGAGGGTATCATCTGCTGGCACTGTATCAGATAATGTTCCACTGCTATTCATAAGGTTTTCACTGGCCAGTTTTTTCAGAAGTAGACCGCCAGGTCCTTCTTCCTAGATGTCTTCGTCTGGAAGCTCCGCTGAAACCTGTCCACCATGGGTGACCCTGCTGGTATTTGAAGTACCGGTGGCATAACTTCCAGCATCACAGCAACATGCAGTAGGACAAACTGACAGATTGGTGGTGGGGCCAAAGATTTACTGAACATAACTCTCCCTAGCAATAGCTGCCTTTCACACGCAGCTGATTCAAAGCATTCTTGTCCTTTTTTGGTTATTTGTTACAAGTTTTAAGATTTTGGAGGTGTGCTCTTGTTGGATTTAAATAAATTACAAACTCGGACGCAGAAGAAATGTATTTTACAAATAACCTGGTGACGGGAAAGAAAAATTTTTTTTAAAGCCTAGTCTTTTCCTACCTTCCCTCCCAAAATCATAGCTTTTAAAGAAAAATTTAAAAATTGAAACAGAAAGAAGATGGAAATTATCCTAAGTCCCCCACCCCCCGGGTAATGAGCTCTCTCTCTATAATAATCAGATAATATATATACACATATGAGAATATATGATCCATACTCTTTTGTCCACTCAATAGTACAATATAAAGATCCTTTTATGCTCAGCATACGCCCCACCTGTTCCTGGCCTTTGAGGCCATGGAATTTTCCACCCGAGGGTGTTAACAGTAAAGCAAAGTAATGTGGGCGTCCTGGTCTGGCAGAACCGGGTGTCTCTGACATTTCCTCGTTGTATAACATTGAGACAAATTACTCAACTTCCCTGTGCCTCAGTTTCTTCATCTGTAAATAAGGAACAAAGACAGAGTTTACATCATTGCATTGCTGTTGTGATTAAATGAGAAAAAAAGCATGAACTGGGCCAGGCTCAAATAAGGAGCTTGATATTTTGGAGCTATGTTTATTCTTATGGACATCAAAGTTGTTTCTAACTTTTCACCATTGTTGTGTGCCATTGAGTTGATTCTGACTCGTAGCGACCCTATAGGACAGAGTAGAACTGCCCCAGAGGGTTTCCCAGGAGTGGCTGGTGGATTTGAACTGCTGACCTTCTGGTTAGCAGCCGAGCTCTTAACCACTGAGCCACCAGGGCTCCAAAATGTGAATAATTCATTGTATTTTTTATAAAGGGCATGAGAATCTAGGGAACACAGTGTCTGGCATATATAAGCATTCGGTCAGTGGCAGTTGTGTTATCCGAATCTAACTGCAGACCAATGTTCTCATCTGTAAACAGTTCAATGTCCCTTAAATTTTTGTAACATCTTTATTGAGATACTACTTACATACCATACAATTCACCCATCTACAAGTCAATGGTTTTTAGTATATTCAAAGAGTTGTGCAAGCATCATCACAATCCACTTTAGAACATTTTCATCACCCCAAAAGAAACCTGGTAGTTTATTTGTTGTTACTTCCTAATCTAATCCTCCTACCTCCCAGCCTCCCTGCCCTATTGTTGTTAGGTGCCATTGAGTCAATTCTGAGTCATGGTGACCCCATGTGACAAAGCAGAACTACCCCATAGGGTTTTCTAGGCTGTAATCTTTATGGAAGCAGATTGACAGGTCTTTCTCCCGTGGTGCCACTGGGTGGGTTCGAACCACTAACCTTTTCGTTAGCAGCTAAGCACTTACCCATTTGTGCTACCAGGGGTCCTTCCCCCAGCCCTGAACAACCATTAATCTACTTTTCTATAGATTAGCTTATTCTGAATATTTCATGTAAATGGAATCATACAATATGTGGTCCTTTGTGACTGTACTTCAACTTAGCACAATGTTTTCAAGGTCCATCCATGTTTTAGCATGTATCAGTGCTTTGTTACTGCTTATGGCTAAATAATAGTCCATTGTATAGCTATACCACATTTTATTTATCCATTCATTAGTTGAACATTGGGGTTGTTTCCACTTTGGGGCTATTATGAATAACACTGCTATGAATATTTATGTACAAGTTTTTGTGTAGACATATGTCTTCATTTCTCTTAGGTATATACCTAGGGTTATCATGAGGGACCAGACCCTGGAGAAGGACATCAAGCTTGGTAAAGTAGAGGGTCAGCAGAAAAGAGGAAGACCCTCAATGAGATGGATTGACACAGTGGCGGTAACAATGGGCTCAAACACAGCAACAATTGTCAGGACAGCAGAGAACCAGGCAACATCTCGTTCTGTTGTGCATAAGGTCACTATGAGTAGGAACCAACTCAGCAGCACCCAACAACAACATATACCGAGGAGTTGAATTGCTGGGTCATATGGTAACTCTATGTTTCACCATTAAAAGATCTACCAGACTCAAAGCAACTGCACTGTTTTACCTTCCCTTCAGTGGTGTATGAGTGTTCTGATTTCTCCACATCTTCACCAACATGTGTTATTTTCTGTTTCTTTTTTTTTTTTATTGTAGCCACCCTAGTGGATGTGACGTTATATTTCATTGTGGTTTTGATTTGCATTACCCTGATGGCTAACTATTATTTTTAATCACAAATAATTTGTATTGTGTAATTTTGCCCTTGAATTATGGTGTTGGTGAAGAATAATGAATATCCCATGGACTGTCAGAAGAATGAACAAATCTGTCTTGGAAGAAGTACAGCCAGAATGCTCCTTAGAAGCAAGGGTGGTTAGACTTCGTCTCACGTACTTTGGACATGTTATCAGGAGGGACCAGTCCCTAGAGAAGGACATCATGCTTGGTAAAGTAGAGGGTCAGTGAAAAAGAGGAAGATCCTCAACAAGATGGACTGGCACAGTGGATGCAACAATGGGCTCAAACATAGGAATGATTGTGAGGATGGCGCAGGACCAGGTAGTGTTTTGTTCTGTTGTACATGGGGTCACTATGAGTTGGAACCGGCTGGACAGCACCTAACAATAACAACAACAACAATTTTGCCTTTACTATTCTAAAATGAAATTCACATATAATATAATCTACCTAAAGGAGTCCCCAGGTGGCACAAATGGGTAAGTGCTTGCCTTAGGCTGGGTTCTCTAGAGAAGCAGAACCAGTAAGTGTATAAATAGATATAGAGAGGGATTTATATCAAAGAAATAACTCACATGATTGTAGAGGCTGTAATGTCCCAAATCCGTGGATTAGGATAGAGGCTTCTCTCAATTCACGTAGCCACAGGGGCTGGTGAACCCAAGATTGGCAGGTTGGAAAGCAGGACTCTTGCTCACAGGCTGTGAAGATTGACGAATCCCAAGATCAGCAGATAAGCTGATAGCTCAAGTCCCAAAAACTGGAGATCAGACAAATAAGAGGCAGCCGAAGGATCCAGAGCAAGCAAAAAGCCAGAATGTCTGTTTATATTCGGATGCAGGCCACACCCCAAGGAAACTCTCTTTCAACCGATTGGCTACTCACAGCAGATTCAATCACGGGAATGATCACATATGAACACTGAGAATCATGGCCCAGCCAAGGTGACACACAATCTTAACCATCACAGTGCTCAACTACTAACTGAAAGGTTGGCGGTTCAAACCTACCCAGAGATGCCTCAGAAGAAAGGCCTGGCTATCTGTTTCCAAAAGGTCACAGCCATTAAAAACTCTCTGGAGTACAGTTCTACTCTACACACACGGGGTCACCATGAGTTGGAATCACTTTGATGGTGATGGGTTTGTTTTTTCTTTATAATCTACCTATGCCCACAACAACAAAAACACTTTCTTTTGTCCTGGGGAACATCTAGCTCAACTGGCATAACATAGTTTATAAAGAAAATGTTCTACATCCTATCTTGGTGAGTAGTGTCCGGCTACTTAAAAGTTAGTGAATGACCGTCTAAGATATGCCACTGTTCTCACTCCATCTGGAGCAAGGGAGAAAGAAGAAAACCAAAGACACA